CATCACCAATTGTAAAATGCAAACGAAAGATCATGTATCCAAAAGAAAACTATATTTCTAGTGGGGTGGAAGGTCATCTAATTCCAAACCCCTCGTGTTGCATAGTGGAAGTCATAAGAATCTCCTGTTGATCTTCCCTTTCTTTCAGGAAGCTTCGGCTTGCTCGTTCCTCACCTACAAACTTTGCTATCACTATATAACTTAAAAGATCACTATGCAATCCTTTCTTCCTAGGCTCTTAACAGTGCACTTTTGCATCCACCAGTCTCAGCACTTGTTTACTGATTCTAATCACAATTACAGTCGTATAGACGACAGAGGTACTTGAGATTACGTAGGAGCAGTAGCTTAACACAGTTTCCTCCTTTTTGGTTTCAATGGCGGCCCTTTTTTCTACAGATCGATCAACTTGGCTCTGCTGGGACATTGCAACTGGCTAAACGAGACAGAGGTATCCATGTTGTGCCATCTCGTCATTCAAAAGAGATCACACAGAAACACACAAGAGGAACACTGGACAGGTATACGACCCTTCAAAGGGGGGCCCTTGCCCGCTACAGCGAGCAAAGCCTCCAAAGAAATGAATTTAATTCCATACGGTCCTGTCTTAAGCGAGCAAAAGTTCTCTCTCTCCTCCAAAGTCTTCCATGCGCACTCACTAGATACAACAAGGGCCTTGATTAGCCTAATCATTCCCTCGTGCTTTACCTCTAATCACCCACCTTTTAAGCCCTAAAGTGGGTCTAATCTAAGGGTGCAAAATGTGGGGGGAATCTTCTTCTTCTCTTCCTCAAATTGTTGTGCTTTGGTTTGCATGAGACAACACTTCACATCATTGTCTCCAAGGGGCAACTTCGCCGTAGTACAAATTGCCCTAGCTATAGCTACACAAGTTACTTGGAAGTTCTCTCCTGGAAAAGGTGGTGGGGTGGGTGGGGTTGCCCTAAAGACTTACATACACGCACCTGGGAAAGAATATCGAAATGTACACCGGGTTTGGTTTCTAGTTGTTTGAAAATTAACTTAACTGACACGTTTAGTGGGGTTTGGTTTTTCTTATTCTTGCACAGTTTTAAATTAAACTGGCTGGCAATCGGCAATCCCCCGATCTTTCAAAAAGTCTTTCAAGGGAGAAGACAACAGTGACAAAACGGCCATTCAGCCGTTATTAGCAACTCTATCATTATTCTATGTGCGATTTTAATCAATGAATGTGAAAATTTCCATCCCTTTGGTTTTGTGTGTATCATGTGTATTTGTAGTGGTCTTGTCCAGTAAAATAGAACCCACGGCCCATCCTATGAAGACCCCCTGCGGTCGCGCCACGCTTCGCGCTTCCCTGCCGTCAATGCCCAGCGATCTAACGGTGCCGCGCCGCGCTGAACTGTCCGTGCGCATTCTCACTTCTAGCGGTCCACAACTGGCGTTTGGGCCAGTCTAGCCCCAAATTTGTACGGCTAGAGAAAACCCATCTTCTTGAACCCTTGGCGGAGTGGTAGTGTGTAGCGCTTCCATTTCTTTGCTTTCTCTCTCGATCTTCGCTATAATCTCTCCTCCCTTCCAATCCATTCCACTCCTCGTCCGCGGCGGCAAATTCTGGCCAGATCAAGATTCGTCGCGAGGAGCCTCGGATTAGATAGATCGATTCCTTTCTTTGCCGCGGCCGCGACGCTAATCGATCCGTGGCGCTAGATAGTTGCGATATTTCGGGGCTGGAAGGAAGAAAGATCGCATCGCTTGGCTTGGATTCCAAGGCTGTGACGAAGAAGAAGACGAAGAAGAAGAAGAAGAAGAAAGAGATTTCGCAAGAGAGGGGGAAGGGTCTTTGTCGGCGGCAATAGCTTCGCTCGCGCGGCGAGAGCTCGATGTCAACAACGGAGCTGAGCCACGCCTGGGGCGGCCAAGACGATGCATCGCGGCGATTCAAGAGGTCAGCTTTGGATCTGAGCTTGAGCATTGGTGATTTCCAGACGAAAAGACTCCACCAGGAGGAAGGGGACGATCTTCCTCTCGCTCGCTTTGGCTCTCACCCCATCCTCTCGCCCGGCCAGGCCATTCTTTTGGAGGTCAAGCCCGACGAGAGCTGCTGGACGCGGGATCATCCCAAATTCCAGGAATCGCCCAAAGATTTGGATTCTTGCAGCGGCACCAATCAATCCAAGCCCAGCGCCTCCGGGGACGTGGAATGCAGCAGCCGGGATTGGATGTCGAGCCCTCCTCTCTTCGACAGTGCCAAGAGGCCGGCTCCTCCTCACGATCATCACCATCAAGGCTTGGTAGGAGGAGGGATGATCTCAGTTCCTCCTCCATCTCTCGATTCCTCGCCGACGGCTTTCGGCGGCCAGGCGTCCGAGCCGCGGGTCTTCCCTTGCCCGTATTGCCAGCGCAAGTTCACGAGCTCGCAAGCGCTGGGCGGCCACCAAAACGCCCACAAGAGGGAGCGCACCGCGGCGAGGCAAGCGCAGCGATCTCACAGCCTCGCGCAGGCCTACCGCCACATCCACTCGCCCATCCTGGGCTCCGGGGCCAGCTCCCTCGACAGGAATCTCGGGGTGAAAGCCCACTCGGCCGCGCATCTCACCGCCACCACGCTGATCGAGAACGCTGTGCGATCGGCGAATGGTGGCGGCGGGGGAAGCCCAGCGCCGGCTCTCCCGACCGGGCACCACGGATGGCTGCGACCAGCCTCGATCTCATTGCAGCCGGCGGTGGGGAAGTATCTGGGCGGAGGAGGAGGAGGAGGAGGGATGAGGAGCGGTGCTCGGTTTGAGGATCTGGTTGGAGGGGGCAGGGGATTTGGAGCAAGCTTCCTCGACGAGGATCTTCCGGGCGGCAAGTGGCCGCGGAGCTTTTATCAGAACGTTCATGTGGCAGTGGCCGAGGACAATGCCACCACCACCGCCACCACCACGGCTCACAAGCAGAGTACCACGGCTACGAACTTGGAAGATTTGGCGAGGGATGGAGAGCGGAGTGGCGGTGGCGGAGGTGGCGGAGGTGGTGGCGGCGGCGGGGGGCTGTTTCAGTTGGATTTGTCGCTGCGGTTGGGATCTTTGTGCTCGTCGCAGACGTGTGATCCGATTTGATCCAGAGTTTCCTGGCGATGGTGGTGGTGCTGTAAATGGACACGAGGTGGAGAGAAGGAAAGTTGCAGTGACTTCTTCTCGAGGCTCTACAACTTTTTGCGGAGGTCCTCTCCTCGGTTCCTTTTTTCCTTCCATTCTTTTTTTTTTTTCTCTCCTGCTTGTTTCATCTTTACTTATTGTGTAGCTATAGGAGGAACTTTTGATTCCGAGCTTGATGTGTAGGATTTCGCTATTTCCCATGCAGATTACGACTCAACGCGAAGGCTCCGGCTCCATGGAGAGAAAAGGGCTCCGGGACACGTTCTTCGCGAGCTCGCAACTTTTCTTTTCCAGAGTGTTTGAGTCCGATCAAGGATCAAAGTTTCCATTTTTACTTCCCTCTTTTTAAGTCGAGAAGGCAGGCTGGACAATGCAAGATCTAGTCTCTCTTCTTGTGTATACGAATGCTCTCTTGCTTTTCATGAGTGTGTTCTTGAGTTGTTTCCGTGCTGAGTCGTGTCAGAAACAAGGGACCCAAACGCAAAGCTCCAACCCAAGTTAAAGATGTAAAAGGAAAAAAATATATATAAAAAATCATACCATACAAAGTACAAGGAGATTTGATGAGATCCCAAGTACCTTAGAGAAGTATGGTGCTTCTTACCACCCTCTCAAAATATTGATTGATCGAGTTGGCGTTGGTTTGTTTAGAATTTTCTCCTCCATCACTCACTCCTGATAAATGAGGAACTTGACTCTAACGTTGCGGTTTCTTAACACCCACACAATGCTTTTCTGTGGTCAATGTGTTGGACGAGTGTACAAGCCCTGTTCCCGAGCACGAGATTCCAATCCAAGAATCTTTTGTCAATCAGAGCTCTTGGATATTAACCATGGATGGCCGAGCAAAATGGTGGCACCACCATTTTGATTCCATGGCATTCACATTGTCAAGTTCACTATATACCAAAAACAAGAAAAAGAAGTGTTAGAGAAAGCATCGAAGTTCTTGGGTTTGCGAGTGACACTTACAGTGGGAAAAGATGAGAAAGCATCGAAGTTCTTGAGTTTGCGAGTGACACTTACAGTGGGAAAAGATGAGAAAGCACAAACCGCGATGGATCGGATCATTTCGTCGGCTCGCTGTGGCGGTGGCTGGCTAGACAAAAAAATAAGCTCCGAGGCGCGCAATCATGATGTTGGTGCGTTTCAGGTTGGAATTTTAATGAACCAAGGGCCAGCCGGCCAGCCTTTCGAGACGATCTCGATGTTTACAGATAGAGAAAGCCGCTGCCAAGGAGATCGAGTCGAATTATTTGTTTTCCTGGATTAGATAACGGATAGATACGATTAAACAAAGGGGATCATACATACCTTGGGTGCGCAGGTGATGCATCGCTTACGATGAACATGAAGACTCTCATGTAAGTCGGGCCTTTTGTTCGTCCGGCTACAGTGGAAAAGGAAGAAAAAAAAGAGACACGCATTATGAGAAGATGAGAGCGAAATCCGTGGGGCAGGATGTTTGGTGCGTGCCTGTTTAAATGGACAAATTCTGTCTGTTGCTGGGCATCTGAGAGCGAGCTGCTTGTTGCTTGGATTTGCTTTCTTTTTCTGTTCCATGCTTTTTTTATTGGCCTGTCAGCTCGAGCAGAGAATTTCCGGAAGAGATCTAGGAGGACAAAATTTCCAGCAGTTATAAGAGTTTCACTTAAAGACAATGCACTTACGAGGCGAAGAGGAAAAAGGGTGAAGCTCCGTCATTTGCTTCTCGGTGTTTCCAACCGCAACCAGAAAAGTTTGGCGAGGAAGTACTGCGGAGATCTGAAAGATAATATATAAAGGTCTACTTAAAAGGCTGACGAACGAACCTACATCTATAGTCTCGATGCTCTAATTACTTACGTTACTCGAGTACAGCAAAACTTCCAGGGAACGGCAACACTTTCTTCGCCATCATCATCCTGTATATCATTCAAACCAGCAAAGATATGAGAACAGTAAAAATGAAGTAAGGATACCTGTTAGTGGTCTAGTTTTCGAACTGAAGCCATTAAACTGAGATGAGCGTAACGTCAACTCTGCAATCCAAGAAAGCATTGCGGTAACTTAGGCTCTTCCAGGCAAGAGTCTTATGTCGATGGTGCCAGTTTTTCATTTTGTCTACCAAAAAATTGTGTATTCACTTAAGGAATCGAAACATCTCTCACCTGATTTACAATTTCTTATATATGTATTAGTAGTGTGCCTGAAAACGACCTATAAAACAGTCGCAGGAGTGTTTCAGCCAAACCATATGCATTACACGTACCATTCTTCTATGGGACGATCACTTGCTTCCCTTTCTTCCACGTATAATCGCCTGGAACCAGGAACGGGTCCGCATGCTCGGAACTAGGATTCGAACTTTTCATCCAAGAAAACCAGGATCCAGTATGCTCGGGTTTCAGGTTGTTCTGCATCGCGTGCCGCTCTTGGAACTTGGAAAACGTGACGATGACTCTAATCGTCGGCACCACCGGAATGGACATCTGTTGACACGCAATGAAACTTAAGACTGGAAAAAGAAAAAGAAAAAGAAAAAGAAGCGAACCTTGACAGGAAAAGTTCCCGCTGGCAGTTTCGTAGTCAGCAACTCTCTAAGCCTCCGGACGGCCTTGACTTTGCTTGACAAAATGTCAAGCAGTGGAAGAAGCTCCTCGATCTTGAGAGGAAAATTATCTGTCACCCAAAGAGTGGGTCTAAGTCCCTTCTTGAACTCGCTCTCCTCTTCCTTTGCGCTAGACTTTTTGGAATCGTCCTCTTCCTTACCGCTTATAGGCCTGGACTTTTCGGCTTTCGGCCTCCCACCTCGACCATTGACACAAGCCGAGTTCTCTTTCTGTTCTTCTAAGTTCTCGCAATCGCCACTCAAAACCATCTCCAGCTGATGTTTCTCCTCCTCCGTTAGCAAGTTGGCATAATCTAAAGTTTCCTCTTCTTCGTCTTCCTCCACTGCCCCCAGCACCTTTCTAGATCTGATACTAACGGACACGTTTTGCATGTCATACACCTTGCACTTCCAGTTCCCCACTGTCTCCGCCTTCTCGTGTTTCCTCCACGTCAACTGCGGAACCAGCTGCGCTTGAGTTACATCCAAACCTGGCCGATAGACATTCGCCCGAGACATCACAGCCACCTCGTGGGCCACCTCTGCGTCCGACGGCTGTACCGCGGCATCTTCAAACGCATTCACCACCTCCTTCTTCTTGTGCATCAGCACCAAGAGCTCTCCAGATCCCATATTCTCTTTTCCCAAGAACAAGTAGCTCCGATCCGACCTCTGGATCTTGAACGAGTCGAAGCCAGCCAGTGTCATGTCCGCTCTCAGATTGGAACCACGCTTCCATATCTTGTAAGTGTCCGACGGAGCAATCCTCCCGATAAACGGGATGACCGAGCTCTCGAAATGAAACGTGAGCTCCATGTAGAAATCCTTCATCCTGTTGAGCTCCGCTACAATCCGTGGCAGCCGCCGACACCACTTCGACCACGCCATGGGCTGATAGTACTTGGTGATGACCATCGCAATAGCTTCCTTGCGAGCACACACGGCCTCCTGGAGCGCACTCCATCCCCGACCATTCTGCAAACTACAGTCCGCCCCGGCTGCCGCTAGCATCTCCACCGCCCTCGCATTCCCGAGCCTCACCGCCAAATGCAATGGAGTCTCCCTCCCAGGAACTTCCCTGTTGTCGATCACCGACGAAACTATATCGGCCTTTTGCTCCGCTAGAAGCGAGTCCACCTCGGAGCTCACCTCTCCCGCGGTTGGCAATCGCGGCAGCCGGGAGAGCACCGATCGGAGGAGGCCATAGTCGCATCTGGCGACTGCGTAATGCGCTGGGCTCTGCGAGTAGACATGAGCCTCCTCTGCCGAAAGCTGCGACATCCTCCTGCCTCCCTAAACAATCGGATCTGCCCAGAAACCCCCCAAAACTCTCATCCAAAAACTGCCCAAACGCGCTTTTCCAGCCTAGCCCAGCCCGGCCCAGCCTAGGGCTTGCAGTCGCGAGAGGAGAGCTGGGTCAAAAACACGGAGCTTTCGCGACGAACAGGGGACCTGCGACTACACAGAAACCCTAATCCATGGCGGAAATTTCTTAGATCCAAAGCGAAGTACCTCGATTGGATCCAGTGGTCGGCCCGCCAGCGCAGATATGATGCCACAGTGTGCGACAGATCGGCCGGTCTCCCCAAGAACAGTGGCGAGAGAGGAAAGCGGGGAAAAAAGCGAGGAGCACTACCGATGGAGCAGCTTTGCGCACTGGCGCGCTCCAGTCGTCGTCATGGCAGCCACTACCTGAAATGACCGCGACTGGCCGCTCGATCGATCGGGCGCCATAGCCGAGCTCGCAGCGCCAGTGTAGGGCTCTTCCACCTCCCCCCACAAAGCCCTAGCTTACGAATCCCACGCCCCCCAGCATCAAATGCCTCTATCTCTTTCCACCGTGAGTTTTTAAAAGCCTATATTTTGGCGGCAATTCTGACAAGATTCGGGGCATATACCCACTAACGGTTTTGTTTAGTTTGAAAATTTATGCCTTGTTGGGGTTTAAATTTGTAGGGTCTGGCAAAGCGCTGCCAAACCCTCTACGGTGGTCCAAAAATTATGTCGGCCATATGTCTTGATATCCATACGGCACGCACGCTAAATGGTGCATGTGGCATATTTAGCCAACCGACCCTTTTTAAATTTGATCATTTACGATACGTTTCTTTTATATCATGACCATGGCGCGAATCCACGCTAGGGCATGTGGGATATCTCCAATAAGCCCTAGCCAAAGCCCTAGCCCTAAATAATTGCTATGTTGCGTGGCTATGGAGTCCCCGCCTTGCCCCGCATTGCGAAGGGTTTCTCTCCCGGGAGGTCGAATTCCAGCGGGTTGAGCTCTAGCGTCGGGTGGAGGTGAGATCACTGCCGTGGCGCGCATCTGAAAATCTCTCTTTAGGCGCCAGGCGATGGCGGGAGTGAGCAAGAGTGTCAATGGAGCTGGAGCAGTGCCGCCGCCGGTGCATCCGACCTACAATTTGAGGGAAGTGATTCAGCTCGCGCTCTCGGAAGACGCAGGAGATCGAGGTCAGTGAAACTACGATTGCTGGGAATTGCGTTTGTCACAATTTTTGCTTCTTTTGTCAGGGGATGTCTCCTGTTTGGCGACTATTCCCGCGGAGATGACAGCGGAGGCTAGATTTCTTGCCAAAGAAAATGGCGTGATCGCTGGCATTGCTCTGGCGGATATGGTTTTTCAAGAACTCGATCCTTCGCTGAAAGTATGCAGATCAAAGCTCTTTCTATTTTAAGTATTTTTTTCTAGACTGATTGGGCAGTCGAGGATGGGAGCACCGTGGAGAAAGGCCAAGTTTTTGGGAAAGTATGTGGTATGTATCACAATGTAAGTCCAAACTGTTGATCCAGCCAGCCTTGTTTGTAATCCTTTACGTTTTTCTTTTTGGTCCTTCAGGCAATGCGAGGAGTATCTTGACAGCTGAAAGGGTCGTTTTAAATTTCATGCAACGCATGAGTGGCATCGCCACTGCAACAAAGGCAAGAATAAGCTTCTTGAACAGTCGCTTTTCCTAATTGTTTCCATCTTGTGCTTTCTTAGAAAATGGCTGATGCTGCTAAACCAGCGAGAATACTGGAGACGAGAAAGACTGCACCAGGCCTTCGTCTGATTGATAAGTGGGCCGTAAGTGATTCAAAATGGATTTTTTCCACGGTAATGGGGTGTTCAATTCAGGTTTTGATTGGAGGAGGAGAGAACCATCGAATGGGACTTTACGATATGGTTATGGTGAAGGACAATCACATAGCAGTCGCTGGCGGTATAGAGAATGCCATCTTTGCAGTGACGAAGTATTTGGAAGAGAAAGGACTTGATATTGGCGTCGAGGTGATTCGCAAGTCCTTGAATTGTTTGCCTGGTCTCTGATTCATTTGGAAATCTAACAGGTGGAGACGAGAACGCTAGATGAAGTGAGGCGCGTTCTTGCCATCTTAGACAAAGGCAAAGTCACACGGATAATGTTGGACAATATGGTGAGTACACAAGCAAATGGAGATATTGATGTGGGTTTACTACGAGAAGCTGTTGAAATCGTGGGCGGCCGAGTACAAACGGAGGTATGCCTCGCAAGATTTTCTTGACTCTTATCTTACTGCAAGATCAAACAGGCTTCTGGAAACGTTACTTTAAGCACAGTCGGAAAGATTGGGAGCACTGGTGTGACTTACATTTCGAGGTATCATCAAGTTTTCTTCTTCTTCTTTTCTGATTGATGTGAAACAAAATAGTGGCGCTTTGACACACTCGGTCTCAGCATTGGACATCTCTTGCAAAGTTGACATTGATCTGGCCCTTGCAGTCGGCAAACGAACAAACCGTGCCTAGAGTTTCGAAACACCAGGTTCTTCTGCTTAACTAGCTAGGAACCAAAAGCAAAAGCGACTGATAAACAATAGAAGTGGGACTTAAGTTTCGAGCTTCAACTTATGGCAAACCTGAGCAAAGCTCCGGATTCAGGAACTTCAGTCTTCATGAGGCCCAGCTGGTACTTATAGATCTATTGCTAAACTATGCAGCAAGGTTATAGATCCATGTATTGAAGTGTCACACAGAAACAATTTCATAAGCGCTTGAGGATAACAGTCACACATGCCTGGTCAGTATAAGACTCTGAACTCCATTTTCTTATATAGTAGCTCCACGTTTGCTTGGCTTATGGCTTTTGTGTAGCACTCTATTTTCCTGGCATGGTCACTTTCTCCAGAATCGAATGTTTCATGGTACCGTGGGTCCTTCTTGCACAACTTATGCAGCACCTTGAAACACTGAGTGGTTTCCACAGCCTTTTCCACGTACAGTGGAAGGTTGATGTTAAACCTTGTATAATCATAGTCACCTCTTTAAAATGCTCCCATGCAGCTTGGAAGTGAAGCTTCCATAAAATGGGGTCCTCAGAAGATCTTCCTGCCAAGAGCAAGGATAAGACCCCTCCAGGCACCAGCTCTTGGGCTCTGAGTTCAGTAGCTCTCAGCTCCCTCACCGCCGAGGTGCTTGGTGAGAGTCAATCTTGAGAATTTATAGTCTTGCCGCAATATATCATTTTATATTGACAACTCAATGCGTTTCTCCATTTTCAAAAAAGAGGAACTCAGAACTCTCAAAATTACAAATTCACTATTTAACAGGTGTAGCTTGTAATGTCAGGAAGTCCAAGAAAATAAGAGATCAATCTCCATCTTAAGAACCGACTGCTCAAGCTCTTGATTATGACCATGCACTGAAGGTTATTGCTAATGCTATCCATTATAGAGCGATCTAATGAGAATTTACATTTAAATTTAAGGTTTTTAATAATGGTATTTGTATTTCGCATTTTTTTCGGTATTAAATTAAAGTGATTTTGTTTTTTATTTCTCCCTCTCATAATATTATTACATGATTTAAATCCTTTGGTGCCCAACTAGACGCATAGTAAATGTTAAAATGTACAAATTTTTATTGGTGTTTCACCTCATAAATTCTTGTAGGGTCATGATTTAATATTGTTAATAAAGTTGAGTTTACCTTTGAGGTTGTCATATGCTAAGTCTTCAAATCAATATTTAATGAGTATTTTAACATTAGTTAAAGTTGGAGTTTGTTGAACACTTGAGCCATGTACAAAATGGGATAACAACAGCATTATAACTTGCATCATAGTACACCTATATATATAATACTATAAGGTAAATATGTGATTATAGCAGTATAACATATAGAAAATATGACTAAGACTGTATCCATTTTTTTATATAGCTAAATGTGCTTAGGTATATTACTACATATATAATTATTATTAAAAATAAATAATATTAATTTAGTTTCTATCATGATAATAAATTTATAATTTGAAAAATATTGTATTAATAAAAAATATTATAGTATGTCAACCATATTTACAATTCAAAATGATTGTAATTCAGTACAATATTTTGTAATAATTTTTTATAGGAATTATATAGGGGAAATAAAATATTACTTTTTATTAAATATTTTATTTAGCATTATATGTTAAAAGTATTTGTCTATCAAATATTATTTAATTATCTAACTAAATAAGCCATCAGATTTTACTTGTTTATAATAGTAATATATATATATATATATATATATATATATATATATATATATATATATATATATATATATATATATATATATAATATTTAAGTTGGCTGAGATAAAATTTTTAAATAAACCTTATAAATTATTAAAAGTAGTATAGATTATAACTGTGTGCCATAACTTAAATTTATTTATTTAGCGTCGTGTCTTAATTATAACATTGTTGTCCAGAATACTTTAACATAATTATTGTTTTTATTGTTACAATCACTATGTTATTGTTACAGTGGACTGCTAAGTAAACATTATAACAAAGCATGCCAAATATTTTTTCCAACACAATATAAATAATAATATTTTAAAATATTTTTATAAATAAATAACTTACATGTTTCTCAAAATAAAGTGCTAATTTATAATAGATTTTTATTTATAATAAAGTTTTTCTATTTGATTATTTATAAAATTTATGTCAACAATATTATTTTTATAAAATTAGAATAAATATAAATTATATTTTCTATTAATATTTAAAACATATGTATTAAATTTTACAAATAATTAGACTTCTAATTATTCTATTTTAAAAATAATATTGATAATGCTAAATCCTTAAATGGCCATGTACATCTTTTAGAATTTTACTAGTATTTTTCATCTATTATAAGTTCTTAAACATATATTAGTATTTTCTTTATTTATATAATTCATTTTACTTATTAAAAATAAAATTTATAATCTCTACCTAAGAAGAAAATATAATTCTTTTTAGAAGTGTTAAAAATATATGATTCAATCATCTATTTCAAATGTTTGGGTTTTCTGTTTGAAAAGAATATAAGTTAAATGAATAGGTAAAACTATAATTAAAATATCACTTTCCATTAAAAAAACATTCTATTCTTAAGGAACCTATGAAAGTAAAGCATAAAGCATAATTTAATTTGAATGGTCTGGGAAAGCTTGATCTACAATGGAGCGATCGATTGTTAGGAAATAGACGCGAGCTTATCTAATATCCACCATGGCCTCAAGCCCCAGGCTGTGAGGAGGCTAACCAGCTTCTTCAACTAAATTACTAGTTAATCTCTTCTTGTATACTTGTGTCGTCCATGGATGCCGCGGCTGTGAGAATTGCTATGGCGTTCACGACTTCTTGTTTTCCCCGAGACAGGGCCTCGTCTACCGGCGTCCGATCGTAACTGGAAAATGGAAAAGCAAGAGCAATTGAAACCCGATACACTTTCGAGCTTAAAGTTCATGATCAGACCGGTTCAAAGCTGAGGCGCTAGCTCCCGAAGCAATAAGCTCCTCCACAACCTGGGAAAAAGAAAAGAAATCGAAATGAAGAACACTTCGCGAATCACGAAAGAATAGCAAGAAGAAAAACATGCCTGAACTTGGCCATTTAGAGCAGCCCAATGAAGAGGGGTATTGTTCTCGGCATTGCAAGCATTAACATTCTGTGAACACGAGCGATCAAAAACATTCTCTAAGATCTCCTTCGCTACGCGACTTACTTCTCCTCGTTCGATGAGATACTTAACAATGCTCAAGTGACCATTGGCAGAAGCCATATGCAATGCTTTAGAGTAGTAAGATCATAGGCGAGAAAAAATCAAAGCGAGAAATGTTCTACCTGTGCATCCCTGCTCGTTATGTGAATTCTGCGGCAAAAGAGGAGCAACGAGCTTGACTTCCTCGAGTTCTCCATACCTTGCAGCCTAGAGATTGAAAATCTGGAGACACCCATTCCAAGAACCCCGGGGATTTTTACCTGGAGAAGATCATCTACATCAAACTCACACTCCTGCGCTGGCGGCGGCTCTTCACTCGCTGGTAACACACGACCCATCAGGGCTTCCAAGGAAAAGAAAAAAGAGTGCTTTACATTGCCAAAGAATATACAAAGAATCTTTACGCAATCGCGGCTATGGCGGCAGTGACAATTCCGATTATCCCAAGCGCCGACACCTCCACTTCAGCGCTGCCGCTAGTGCCCGCGCCTCTAGCTCGTGGTCTAGATCGGCGCTGCAATTGGACTGGATTGGATTCTGGAGTGTGGGCTTGTTGCTCCGCTCGAATCGTCCATGCCTCGAGAGCTACCAAGATCAAAACCAATGCCAAAACAAGGATCGAAGGCTTCATTGCCAATGATCTTTTGGGATGAAAATGCCCTTCTTTCGACCTAAGTAGCGATCCTTGTCGCGTCCAAATCCAAGGCCACTTTCGAAGAATGAGTAGACCGGGAGACACGAAAAGGATATCGTGGCGTAGTCAAGAAAGTACAGTGATGTGTGAAATTAGGTTTCGCGTACACACGGTCAAATGCGCTCCCAAGGAACTTTCCTTCTTGACAGGGTCAAGATCTCCCCTCCCGATATATAAAAAGGGTTGGATCAATTAGATAGCAATAGCATTGCTTCGATCGCAAAAAGAAGGAAAGGAATGGCGATTCGTGCGAATTTGGTGGCGTCGATCTTCCTCCTGGTTTTGCTGCTGGCGGTCTCAATCCAAGGAGAGGAGACATTCGATCCGGCATTGGTGCTGGAGAGCTCGTTAAGAGGCCTAGTTCGTGGGCGTGGAAATCAAGAAGAGGATGATCAAGCCGTAGTTCCCGGAAGAAGAGCGAGGAGGGATTTTGATGCCAGCCCATTTCCAAGCCCAGATTTCTTGCAAGAGGGCGCTGCTGTTGGATTGCAAGTGCCCATTTTTGGGGCAGTAGCTACCGTTCTAGCAGTTGGTCTTCTCATATGAATTTAACTACTTCTGCTTACACTTCAAGTGCATAGAACAAAATTGAATAAGCAAGAACTTAGATTACCATGGATTGCAAGCAATCCGGCATGGGCGTGTTGGACGAGTGGAAGAGATCTCTCAAAGCAGACCTCAAGTCCGGTAATCCATCGTCATCGCCCATCGACGCCCCGCACTCAAGTAAAATTCGACACACTCCAGCCTCTGCATCACTGCGGAGAACCGTATACTCCCCTGGTTTCACGTTGATATTGCTGGCCACCTTAGCCATAATTCGCAAGATCTCTTCGTCCTCATTCGAGAACGCCGCTCTGGCGAGCGGGCAAAACCCATCATAAGTCGGCAGCGTTGGATCGGCCCCAGCGGCTATCAGCAGTTTGACATTCTCCAATTCTATTCGATTCAGCGCAGCGATGAGAGGGAGCCAGCCCTCCGGCGAGGTCCGGTTGGGATCCATATGCGGGAGCAAGAGCAAGAGCTCCAGATGCTCGGGATCGCGAGCGTTGCACAAGTGCTTGCTGGTGAGAGTCTCGACAGGCCGCGCCATGGGCTTGAAGAGCGTGACCAAGTCATCCTTTGATGGGCGCTGGCATACAGGAACGGCCAGGTGGGTACGCCTGGAAAGAGAACCAACCATACGAGTGAGAATGTAAAGGTTGTGACAAGAAAGAAATGTTACCTGACCAGTGAAAAATCTCATCCGGCGATGGAAAGTCTGGGTCTGCCCCGTTTTCCAAAAGATACTGGACAAATCCATCACCAAGAGGCACCCAGTCGATGGTGCCACTTCACTGCTGCAATAGTGGCCCTAATTCGATAGGGCCTCTCTGTTCTCGCCTGGGACCAGCATGTTCAAGCTGTCTACGAGATCTATGGCTGCGTACGCAGTTTCCAAGTCTGACTCCGTAATGGCTTGTCGACCGCACAGCTGCGACAAGATGAGCCTGAAGCCTGGTAGGCGAGGAACGACCGCTCCCACGTTGGTGACTCGAGCGCAAATAGCTCCTTGCCTTGGTGGTCCTAGACAAGAGCGCAAGGACTTGGAAAAACCAGAGCGATGGTCACCGACTTCGCGTGAAGCTGCACTAGCTCGTTGCCGCCGCTCCCCTCTCCTGGAGCAGACACGACAACGAAGCTCATGAGGTTGACTTGTGGTTTCTCCTCTTCATCCGGGTGAGCGTCGTCTACAATGGTGAACACCGCACTATCTCCTCTACGAATGGGCTCATCGTGTGAGCACTTATGTGACCACGAAAGGTCACTCATCGCTTTCCGCCTCTTTCGATAGTTGTCCGTGGAGACCCAAAACTGACTGTCCCAAAATCACCTCAGAGTGCTCAGAAACCTTGCTCCCCTGCTCTCTCCTCGGCCGCTGCTGGCATAGAATATCTCTTCAGCAAGTGATTGCAAGGAATCTTCATACGAGCAAATGCAGCCTAAGAACTGAAACCCAAGGTCACGGCTTGATCCGCCCCAGTCATCATCAGGGTCCCCTTATATTGTGATTGCATCCTCTACCTAAAACATGTCTACCTCCACTACAAATTGTCTCCGCTCGTGCATATTGCGTGCTCCCAGTCCAACACTTCTAAGCTTTGCTGGCCTAATCATTGTTGCCAAGGGTCGCCATTGAACCCAAAGGTTTGTTGTCTAGTATCAAGTTTGCAAGCACCTTCTCTTAAAACTGATACATAAATAGAAAATAAAAAGAAAACCTTACCAGCCATTTTATGTTGTTACAAACGTCACCATGGTGTTGTTCTTTTAATTTAGAGCTCGTGCTCTGGTAGAAGCATGCATGGTTGCATTGTCTGGGTAATCTCACCCTTCTGTGTGAATACTCGCCATTTGTGATTTTTGCCCTGATTCCCTGAACAAAACTGCCATGTGGGCACAAAAGTGGTGAACAGCTTCACCAAGAACTTAAATCTTATAGGGGTTGCAAATAATTATCCAAGTATAAGTATGTAAGAACAAGAATTGCAGCCTTAGGGCTCTAGGGCATGGCTTGCTCCAGCTCTAGTGAGTAGTTTCCACCTATATGTAGGTTCCATTTGCTCCATCCCTTTCATGAGTTCGCAGCCAATGCTGTCCAATGGAAGAAATTGTGCTGACTGCCAACTAGCAGTTGATGGGATAAAGCAGTTTCTCATGCCCACAGGACATAAGCACAAAGCCCTGAACAGATAGGAGCCTTCTCTTGCCAACATGAGCAATGGGCATTTGTTTGCTCCATTTAAAAAGAGCCCTGCTGGTTTGTGTCTGTTTATGGTGCCTATGCATAAAAGCCATTGAGCAAACACAAAAACTGATTGAACCAAACTAAATGTTTTTGTCTTGTCAAATCTATTTAATGCTATTTGATCTATTTGTTCCAATAGAACCCTTTAAATTACATTCCAATATGGTGCAATGTAAGGGTTTTTCTATTCAGTTGTGGGAATCTGGCAGCCAACTATTTATAGTATATTCATTTTAGTTTGATTAGGTCTTTTTATAAACTTCTACTGCCATGTGTTTTTAGAATTTAGCCTATCAGTTTCTCTATTGCACACCTATGAGCTAATTCCTAAGCTCCAACCTAATTATAGCCTACTTGTCTTATTTTTATAGATCCATGGATTTGAAAATTTTATTTGATTTAGACTTTATGTATATAGTGGCTATAGAAGTAAAATTTTTCCAAAGATTAGGGACATAAAAACTCTCTTCACAAATGGATGGTGATAATTACCACAATGTGGAACTAAATCCTTCTAAGGTAGGTGAGAAATACTTGTTTTAGTGCCCAAATTCATGAAATCATGTTAAGGATTGCCCACTTCAATAAATGAATTTGGAGTCTAAACCATCTATTGAAGAGATATGTTCTATCAATGGTTTAGTGCCCATCATTAACATATTGTTTAATTCTAAAGGTGAATACGTCATAGCACCCTTTGTCCCAGGAAAATTTGTCCAGTTGAAGGTGGAGTAAAGTCTCTTGGTGGGTCTAATATACCTACAATATCTGACAATAGTGGACCCAAGTGAGACTTAAATAATTCAATGTATTGAGTGTGATTTTTTGTTTCCTCTATAACCTAGAATTCCCTTTTAAATAGCAAGTGTGTGATTGAATATGTGTTAATAGCATGTGTAAGCTTCTATTCCGGGCCAAATAGTTCTTTTATCCATATTCTAAAATTAATATTGATTTTATGGGAGGTTTGGAAAAGGGTTGGGATCAAAATCTCTTCTTGCTTTTCTTTTGGGAATTATACCTTGATCATCTTCATCTTGATTTCCATGCCCATGAACTCTGGAGCAAACTACTCATGTTGCTCCTGTTTTGCCATAAAATTCACATGAGCAGGGATGCACAGGTCTGCATAAATATGATCCTCATCTAGAGGAAACTAAATAAGAAAAGAAAAATAATGATGTCATCTTTTGGCTTTAAAAATTCAAAGCCAAATTTTTGGAGTGATTTCAAGAAGGTTTATATGTTAAAAAGTTTGGAGAGGTTGATCTTGTGAACTAGTTACTAAAGATTATATAAGGACTTGCATATGCTTGTAAGTTTTGTGACCTTAAGCATCTATAACAAGCTACTAAAGGTGTAATATTTCACCAAAAGTTTGAGCTCAATGGATGTGGAAAAAAAGTCAAGAAGGATTTTCTAACAACATTGATTGATGTTATTATTAAGATTTAAATATTTTTGCCAAAAGTCATCTAGATCAATATTGGTCAAGAAAATGGTCAACAAGGAAGTCAATATAATGGTTAATTAGCTAATGCTTCATATTTGGGAAAGAAATGATTGTTGTTGCATCAGTATTTAAAAAATGGAGATCGAAATAAGGCTAAAAAACTTCATTTGGACCAATGAAAGAAAGGCAACAATTTATTTATTGCCACAAGGCTAGGTATCATAACAAAGATTATCCTCTTGTGAAGGGGTTAATGATAACATAAATGTGATAGACTTTATCATGGATACAACTCAAATGTATACTATAGTGGCTTTTCTACATCTTATAGTGAAAATTCAAAAACCAAAGTTTTTAGTTTATATCAAGAACATTTAGGGTAGTGGTTTAACATTATTTTCAATCTATGTATTATTGTAAGTTATAAATTTTTCCTTTCCAATTTACAAGCTTATCTCGTCTATCTAATTAACACTACTTTGGCCTTAGCTAAGTTCCCTCGCCAAAGTTCTTGCCTATTATACTAGCTCCTACTTGGTCTTGGTTTCAACTACTCATTGCACGAGCAATGAAGCATTAACCATCCATCCACAAATTTTTAATCTCTCCCCATCCCCTTCCCTAAGTTAAATTAGACTTAAGGTTCAGCTACACTCCCCGTAGGCACAAGCAGGCAAGCACACCAAGCCTCCAGATTCTTAACATCCCTTAGTACAACAAGATTTGATCATGGGACCCTTCAAATCCCAAGCCTTGGATGCAACACTTGTTTCGAAATATCAAAAGGAAACACCGTGGCTTAATGGCCCAGTATAGGTACCTCTACCCCCCCCACTTCCATCATGAAGGGAAGGCCCAAACTTTTAGGAAGGGTGAGGATTAATGAGTTGCAAGGTACTCAAGTGGGGCACCATTCCAGAGCACCATAGTCAGTTACCCTTCTAGGAGTGAAAGCTACTTTTAAGCACTTCTTTGGGTGGCACCACCTGAGTCCATGCTCACTCCCACCTAAGGCTCTTCGGCCCCAGTCTCAACCTCAAGTTAGTTTGAAAGCACTACTAGAGAGTTCCTTTAAGACTAGTTCCTAAACCTCACTATCCCTACTATACTTTTGGAACCCTCTGCATCCTCCCCTCCCCCTTAGTGACACATGCTTTAAGCTTTCACCCTTTGACCTGTATTAGTAGTCAGATTTAGTCTTGGACTCGATTAACCTTGGACTCGATCTCGGACTCGATCTTGGACTCGACCTCGGACTCGACCTCGGACCCAATCTCGGATCTCGGACTTTGTCTCGAACTCGGTCTCGGAGTCAGCCTCGAACTTGATCCCGGACTGTCTCGAACTCGATCTCAAAGTTGGTCTTGAACTCGATCTCAGACTCAGTCCCATCCAATAAACTTTTTATCATTTCGGTCATGCTTTTAGGGATTTTTTAGCCTACGACACCTTGGGGAATTGGTTCCTTACATTACACACAATTCTTTGAGTTTTAAGGTGGTGAAGAAATTTATTTTGCTTATGGAAAAGAACTCAGGCATCTATAAAATAGTTATGGTAAATAGACATAGCACTTATGTTTACTGTGAATGGGCTTCAAGTGTTTTTTTTTATGGTTTAAAAAATTCTTAACCATCCTTTGTTCCAAGTTATAAATTTTGGTTGCATGGATGTTTTTCATATAATTTTTATGGTACAAAAATGTTTTTCACACCTTCTATAAAAGCTAAATTATCAAATTACTCATACTGGCTAATATGAGATATAGTGTGAGTGGTAGTGTGTTGGAGATAGACTCTAGGAGTGGGCTAGCTGAGGGTTAGTTGGTGGCATTGTGGAAAGAGATTGCTGGGACAAGCAATGAAAGTACTCCCTTGGTTAATATTTTGGAACTTCTCATATGAATTTAAGCAATTCCTAGCGGTCCGATTCACTTTCCGATCCGACGGTTCAGATCGACAATTTTGAAAAGCATCTTAACGGCTCTAGGGCTAGGTGCCCAGGGGCTAGGGTTCATCGGGGCTGAGATGGCGTGAGCTTGGCGCTCCGATCCGAGAGAGTAAGCAGCTAAAATCTTCCTATCTTCGCCAGCGCTTATCCTTGGCGTGGATTTCGTCTAGTGGGCTACGATGCTGAGCCTGGAGAGGCCAATTTCGAGCCATGGGCGACGACGAACATGGATTATGGGAAATTCTATAGCTTCTACAAGCCGGTAAGTGAGAATTTTCTAGCTTGGAAATCAGCGTTGGTTTGGTTTTTTTCTCCAAGGATTTCGTCAAGCGGCCTTCGACAGTACACGCAGATTGCGAGAAGAAATATGATATGCTCTTGAAAGAGCTCATGGAGTGCAAGGCGCAGTTGGATCAGCTTCGAGCTCACAACTCAGCTACTGGTTTGGCACTTTGATTTCTATCATTCATCATCACAAGCGAATCAAATCATGGTTAACGAAATTTTTTCTTTTCATTGATGATAGACCATTATCTGTTACTGTTTTCTTCCCTGGACAGATGATGGGCCTCCTTCGCATCGATCGGACGTGTCTTGCGAAGAACAAGAGCACCAGCAAAATTCTAGAAAAGCTGCCTCCACTCCATCTCCAAGGCTGTCGGATCTACTAAATGAAACATCGACACAGCAGCAACAGGTCAACGCCACGGAAGCCACCAACAAGGATTCCAAGAACAGAGTAACTATCAAATCTGCCAAGCACAAAGGGCCATCAAGAAATCTATTGCTCAAGTAAGCTTGTTATTTATTACTCGCACTTCTTTTATCGAAAATCTTTGTGTAGGCAAGACGCATTTGATCGTTTGTCTCGTCCGAAGACTGCTCCAGCTCGTCATCTAGATTACTTGAGGAGCTCCCGAGGAAAACCCAATCCGATAAAGTATGATCAGTACAAGTATTTCGGTAAGTACCAAAGCTTTTCAGTCTTTCTCCAAGACTTAAAGTGAATTCTCTTCCCTGCAGGAAGAGGAAGCCAAGGCTCTAAGAAGGGCTGGGAAGAACAAGTTCCCCCCATTAGAAACCATGCATTGCCACAAGTTCCACCTTTGAGGTTGCGCCGGCGGCCACAGTACTAAGGGAAACAAATTTCTTGTTTCAGATTCTCTGTAAATCGCGGCAATTTTTTTTTCAATGTTTTTTATTTGCGTAAGTGGTTAATTTTTCACATTTGTTAAGGTTTATAAGCTTCAAGCATGAGCTGCGTCCATCAAAGCAAACCACCTTGAAAGATACGTTTGACACCGAGGAGGAGACAAGCTACAGCATCCAGAACTGGAGAGCATAGACGATGGAAAACTCGAGCACTTGGATGACTATAGTTTGGATCTAGGCTGGTAGTAATGTGCCACTTCTGCGATTCAAAAGGAACCATACAGTGGGAATGATGGTGGTGACACAGACTCGTTTATCACACTGCGGCTCTGGTGGTGTGGCCGAAGGAGCGCAGAATGGATGCGCCGTGCAGGACAGATGTGTAGTGGCCTGGCTCGAGGAGTAGCACGAAGGCGAGCGAGCGGGAATTTAGAAATACATATGAACGCAATTAGACAGAATCTTTTGACGAGTTTTGTCTCGAGCACGACTTTCAAGACGCGGAACTGGATCTCGTGGAAACAGCACAGGCTACGGTAAAGAAGTATGGATGGGACGAATGCTATTGAGCCGGGGCTGTTGGGAGAGAAAGATAAGCAGCCTGATGTTCTAAGCTTTGCCGAGCATCTAAGAGGGCTGTGATTTTCGCAGAGAAGCTGCTGGGCGAGGATCAAGTTTGCTAGAGCCACAAGTTCTTAGAACATTTGCTGGGCTTTTTCTGTCGAGAGTAGTCGTGAGGAGGAGACATGGAAGACTGTGAGCATGGCATCCGAGGTTTCTGGGTTTTCCGCCAGCAACTTGGTGAGAAGTGGGGACAGAACAGCTTCCTCGCATCGAAGAGTTTTGGGAGAAGAAGCCGAAAATGTACGAGGATTCATGAACAAAACAAACAGAAGCGCGTGAGCAGCCGCAGTATGGACGATGTGGGTTGACTTACAACTTTAAACCATCACCCAGTGAAACAAAGGAAAAGCTCCGATGTTTCTGGCAGAGTTTGCGGTGCTGCAATCGCCTTCGCAAGGAAGAGCTTTATCAAAGATGCTAGCCTCGAGGAGATCTTTCACTGGGAAATTGATAGCTCTTGCGCTCTGGATGAGAAGTTCCCTGAGCAGAAAGTAAAGGGCTTCCAGAATTTTGAGAAAACGGCGCCGAGCATGAAGAAAGCAGCTGGGCTGCTCGGCTTGACACAGGTCTTCTCAGAGCTCTTGTCATGTGCACTCCAGGTTTGCCACATGAATGCGATGGGTGATGAGAAAATGGTGAAACCTTGGGTGAAGACTTCTTGTTATATAAAAAAATTTGGCAAATAAACACTAAATGAAATGGTGTCGAATGAACCCCTTCATAATACTCAGAACAAGATTTACCTTCTTTTAATGAGGTTTATAATGTTTAAAATGTTGAGTTGTGGATCTAAAGGCTTTGTGTCTCTAGCACTTTTGAGCGGCGCAACAAAGATTTCCTCGAAGAAAGGTGCAAGATGATCATACTTTAATCGATCAAAAGGTGTTAGGGTGCGTTGAAGCTGGAATTAGCTCAGGCGAGAGGTGATTAGCGGCAAAGACGAAGAACACAAACGCCAGGTAAACAAACGCCCGTGGCTCCAGTGTGTTAAGTATGAGTAAATGTTAGAAACCTTTAGTCAATGAAAGTCAACAGAATCTTGATTAATGTTGAATAACCTAAAAACAATCGTCACCGTCCGTTTAAGTAAGTGCTGTGACGTCAGCTCTGACAGGCGACTAGACACGTGTCATTACATCATTGGCCTGACCCCAGGCGTACCAGGAGGGATCATCGTGCTTGGAAAACGCTCCCCTCACACGGACAAGAGCGCCCCCAAATCTTTTTTGGCTTGATAGGTCTAATCTCTCCCATGCGCGCCCAGGGATCTCTTGCCTAGGGCACGCACTGCTATGGCGTCGGCGGTAGGAGCGCTCGCGGCAGTGATCCTGGCGCTGGGGCTGTGGATCGCGGCTGGAAATGTCGAAGGTAGGAGCGCAGCTTGTTTGAGCTTGTCATATTTTCTTTTCTAGGCGATATTCTCCATTCCCTGAGGAGGAGCTTGGTCGATCCAGAGAATGTGCTCCAGAGCTGGGATCCAACGCTGGTGGATCCTTGTACTTGGTTTCATATCACTTGTGACAACCAGAATCGAGTGATAAGAGTGTAAGAACTAGAGTGATTGTTTGTTTGTTTTTTTTTTTTCCTTTCCCCTGAGCTCACTGATCATGCCTCTTTGTTTCCAGGGATCTTGGGAACGCTAAGCTTTCCGGAGTGCTGATCCCAGAGCTGGGAAAGCTAGAAAACCTTCGTCATCTGTAAGTTTCTTGTAGCTTCAGTGCTTTTGAGCATGAATTCTTTGATTTCTAGGGAGCTCTACAAGAACAATATTGCTGGGCACATCCCCCAGGAGCTCGGCAACTTGAAGAAGCTCGTGAGCTTGGACTTGTACATGAACAACTTGACTGGCCCCATTCCTCGATCACTTGGAAAACTCAAGTCTCTTGCTTTCCTGTAAGCAGCCTGACTTTCTCCTTTGTTTTTCTTTAAACTAATGCCTGATGCTTACAGGCGTCTCAACAAGAATCGACTTTCGGGACAAATCCCAAGGGAACTGTCGTCAATCTCGAGCCTGAAAATAGTGTAAGTCGGTCGGAAAAGCTCCGATGTTTGCAGTTTTGGAGCAACCTCTCTTTCTTAATCTCTACAGGGATCTCTCTGACAACGATTTGTGTGGCACAATCCCGACCTCCGGATCATTCGCTCAGTTCTCACCAAAGAGGTACAAGAAGAGTTTTGTTTTTCTTTGAAAGTAGCTCATAGAATTTTGTTTGTCTCTTCCTTGCGCAGCTTTGATAACAATCCCCGTCTCAATGGTCCGGAGCTCCAGGGGTTTGTCCCTTACGACGAGGCAGCCTCGGCTGTTACTTCTGACGAGCACTCCTGCTGACAAAATAGCTGATCACTGGCTGTTTGGTTCTTGCCAGTGCTAAACAAATGAGGAAGCAAATCAAATGGGCGAAGGCGAGGCCAAAGTACCTGTAAAGAAACGAATCCAGCAGAATGAAAACAGAGGAAAAAAAATATTAACTCCCTCCAGTTTGTTCTTTCTCGTCTAGACTTACCACGCCGGAGCATAATGCGTTGAGACCTCGAGAAAAGGATATGGCCACCTGAGAGAAGGACGAGAGATTATTAAAAACCGATGGAAATCTTGGAAGGATCGTTCGTTACCATGTTAGGAGCCTTGTCCCGTGGATGAACCATTGAAAAACAACGTATGCAGCGGTCCAAAACACGAAATAAGCGCCACGGAACCATGGAAAAGGCTGTGGAATCAAAACTATAGAACCCGCGGGATGAGAAACAAAAGCTTGATGAGTACCAAGTCATTGAGGAAGAGCTCCACGAGCAAAAAGATCGCATTGGCGCCATGCATGTTGATATTTACCTGCGGGTGGAGAACTTGAAGGAATTGTGAGCGAACGAAGATATCTTTTTTCTCTTGTTCTTGCTTACGAAGTTTAAGTCGAAGAAAGGACTGGCTAGAACATACGGGACGAGGATGAACCAGTAGACAGTGTCAGTCAAAACCGATGCCGCGGTAGCCGTCTAAAGAAACCACCATCAGATTTTCCATCCAAGTTCTTCGAAGTACCTGGAAGATAACAAGCGTTGCATAGCCGATGAATCCAGCCGAAGCATCCGTTTCGTCCTCGGTAGCGTCAGCAATGCTTTCCTGCTCGATGAAATTCCCAGTTTCCTCGTCGCCCAAGCTCTCCTCGAGCAGAACTATCTTCTTTTCCTTGGCGGCGCCGGAAACGAGCTTGGCGATGCTTATATAACTGGCTAGCTGAAAATCAAAGAACAAACACGATGAGAAGAATCGAGAGGTGGAACTTTCTTACCCCGAAGTAGATCACGAGCAATGTGAAAGTCCATCTGGAGAAGCAAGGAAGGAGATCAACGAGAAATTCGCGCTAATAGTAACTCACTGCGTGTAAAAGACGAGCGACAATGGGCCGTTGGCGACGAAGCTGATAATCCAAATGCTAAGCAAGTAGATGAAAGAGATTGCCCGGATCCCGGCGAGCCAGGCCGGGTGGAGGACGCCGGAGGAGCAGCGGAAGAGCTGGATCGATGCGAGCGCCGCCGCGTCGCCGCCATTCCCGCTACTATCGATCCGCTTCGTGGAGGGCCGGGCTTCGAATTTGACGACGACGGCGATGGCAGCGGCGACGCAGAGGCCGACCTCGAGGATGCAGAGCAAGAAGGGCCATTCCACTTCGAGGAATTGGAGGAGAGAGGTCATCCCCGAGAACGAGGAAGCAAAAAGGCGAAATGGAAGAGCCCTAATTTTTAAAAATATCTTTTAGATTTGTCGTAAAAGGATTGTTTGAAAAGCTTATTTCTTACATCACTTTAATCCATACATCAATTGGAATTGTTGGTCAGATCGTTCCATGAAATTTTCCTATGATTATGTTCTCATGGAAGGTACAAGTTGTGAAAGAAGAGCATAAGAATGTCAATGATCAAATGCACGGAGAGGCGAAATGAAAGAGCCCTAAGTTTTAAAAATATTGTGGTAAAAGGATTGTTTCTTGTGAAAGCTTAACCTTGTCCATAGAACATTTCTTACAACACTTTTATACAACAGTTGTGGCATAAGAATGTCAATGATCACTTGCAAGGAGTCTCCATCTCCAACACTCTTGAAACTGATGGAATCTCCATCTCCATCTCCACCACACTTGGAACTGATGGTGGTGGTGGGATCTTCATCTCCACGGCGCTAGGGGCGGAGAGAGTGATCGCTCGAGAGAGATGGAGCTCGAGATCCGCCCATTGCTGCTGCTGGAGGATGCAAAGCTTGCAACTCGTCGCCCCATGGCAGTGGGGCGCGAGCGGAGGCTTCCTGTGATGGTGGCGCTGCTGGTGGCCACTCTTGATAATACGAGGGATCGTCTTCTTCATCGATCGGCTGCAAACTTCATCCACTACGAGCTCCTTGTACATTGCGTATAGGGCACAAAACACATCATACGCCCTAAAGGGATCCCAAGTATTAGTAAAAAGTAATAAGAAAATGAAATTAAAAAGTAATAAGAAAAATGATATATTTACTTAAATTATACATTAGTTGATTTAATTTTCAATCTTAAGACTAGAGGCCATTGTTTGTGTTATGGCTTGTCTTGAACATGCTCTTGCTGCTGTCGCCGCTGCTGCTGCTGCTGCTGCTGCAGAATGCCATACAGCCGGAACAGGTGGTACGAAGAGATTGAAGCCACCAGAAGTGCTGCCAGAGTGGCCAAGAAGGCCAAAATCACGGCCAAACCAAACACAAGGCAGTAGTGACTGAAATATGTGCACACCGCACTCCACATTGGTGCGCCTCGCTTGCCCAAGTACGCCAGCTGTGCAGAAACCGCAGCTGCAGCCGCACACAGGTGCGACGCTGTCTGCAGAATTCAGAAAAATTCCTTGGTATTTTCTTTTTTTTTTTGAGAAAGAAAAAGAGTTGTTCTAACACACATACCATGTCTCCCACGAAGCATAGCCATGCCATACGTTTCCCTCCCAAGATGCTTGGAGCTCCTGAGAAAATTGATGCCATTGCGATTGCTAGCTGCAGGAAAGAGTAGCCAGCCACAATGCCCATTGCTCCCGCGAAAAACCTTTACAAAGAACCATCAGATCAGCAGGCTTTCAAAGATTTTCAATGATTGCACTGACTTAAGTCCCTTGACGAGCGTGAAATCGGCGGTAGCTTTGGCGAGAATTGGCTGTGGCGATCCAAAGACATTGATAGAAAAGAAACCATCCTCTCGATTGAGAACTGTGATGAGCAAGGCAGCGAGGCTCAAGAACATAGCTGCAAGCCTCAGCAGCAGCAGCGCCCTGCGCTTCTCATACAACTCGAGCATGGTTTCCAAATCGTCTCACAACTTTTCAACCTCTTCTTGCTGCGATGTTGAGCTAAAGTCGAGTGGTCTTCATCCACAAGTGTGTGCGAGACTCTCTCTCTCTCTCCTCTGTGATACTGTGAAGCACGGGGAGAATTTTTCTCCTATAGAGACAAGGACTAAAGTTTTGGGCCGTGGATTCCTCTCTTTATCCATCTCGTCAGCTTTCCCAAAAGACACAAAGAATAGCTCTGGAATAATAAGTGTATCACAAGCTATGTATTTACACAAACAAATGAACGAATGAACACACCCGCACTTAAAAAGTTAGCATGGTATTCTCTTTTGCTTTCCGTTTGGTTTCGATCGTCTGGCTCTTTTAGCAAGTCAGTGTTCGCTCACTTTGTTGATCTGTGCTCTTCCTGCTCGATCGGTTCCTCCCCAGCGCCGCCTTCTCCTGCGTGGAGATGAATTTCCTGAGGTGCCGGATGTACTCCGGATAAAGCTCCAGATTGCAGTGGCCACCGCCCTTGAGCCACAGCGGCTCGTACTTCTCTTTGCAGAGGTCCCAGAGCTGCTTTCCATGCGAGCAATCCACAACGTCATCCGAGGTTCCCTGCCGAAACACGCAAAGAGAATCAAAAGAGGACAAAGAAAACTCTCAGAGGGAATGGAGTGGAACTAATCCCTTCCATCCCATCACCTACATGAATCACGAGAACTGGACAGTTAACTTGGCCTATCTTGTCGATATTCTGCGCGAAAACAAAAAAAGCAGTGAGCGGAGCTTGCGTGCTGGGAAAAGTGAAAAGAGAAAACAACAAAGTACCTTGTAGATGTCAAACCAGTACGTGCGCTTCACGGGATACATTACTCGCAGTCCAGATAGAATCGGGCTGTGAAGAACTACAGCCCGGAGCCTTGGCAGTCGCGCTGCCAAGTCGAGTGTCGGTCCACTCCCAACGGACTGTCCATACAGGACAAGGTCCTCCTGTTTGACACCATAGTCGCGCTCCAGGCACTCGTAGACCGCCTCAATGTCAGCATACGTGTTAAACTCCGTTGGCTGCGAGCTCACAAAAGAGAAACTGTCAAAAGACAAAGTTCTTCGGACAAAACCTGCCTGGGACATTTACCTTTCCAGTGGACGCTCCATACCCTGTATAATCATAGCTGCCACAGACACAATCCACTCAATCCAATGGTAAAGTGCAAAGAAAAAACCAGAGCTTTAACCATGGCACGAAAACGAACAAGAAAACGCACACATTCCAGAAGTAAAACTATGAGCTCAAAACCATGAAGAACAGAAAGGAAAAAGAAAAACAATGCAAGAGAAGAGAAGAAGCTTACCCCATGAGATTTACTCGTAGGTGACGGCTTAGCTCGAGGAAGAGCTCATACATTTGGCCCAAGTCTGCAGCGTTGCCATGGGAGTATAAAAGTGTGAGACGAGCCTCCTGGTTTTTGATATAGAGGGACACGATATCCTGCCCCCTCTTGGTTCTCAAAATTCTCACATCCACGGAATCGCTGCGCGGCACATCCGAGAGCATCAAATTCCCAGTCACCTCGTCCTTGACTACCCTATACGATGGCGGATTCGGGGGAAAAAACGCGAACTTGGCAGCCACAGTGGACGTCACAGCTCCCATTTCTCACTGCCGCTGCCCCGGAGATCTCTCTAGATCGCGCTGTCCATCCTACAAGAACCCTAACCCCGGGATGATCCCACTCCCCTGGGAGCGTCTTACCATGGCGCGGATCGATGGAGGAGCGCGCAGTGACGCCCTAGGGCTGGCGCCTCGGATCTTCGACACGCAAGCGCCCCTTATCGAGGAGGAGAGAAAAGCCTAGCGAATATCCCGGCAGCTAACGGCCGTGATTTGACTGCCGGTATATTACCTGGCGGCTCGCGCCAAAAGAATGTGCTATCGAATCTTTTCCTCTTTTTAGGTCTTCGTCTTCTTTTTGTTTTGTGCTCGCGACAGATGGGCGACAGCATTGAATGGCAGGACGAGCTGGACGAGCGCGCGAATTCATTGCTCCACATGGATTTTCTTGTTCCCAATCCTCCGCCGCACGATCGAGCCGTAGGCGAGCGATCGCTCGCTTTCCGGTGTTCCTCATTCTCTTTGCTCATCACTCTTGAGGTTACCGTCCGCTTGTCGCGTGGAATTTCTGGGAGGAAAATATCTATCATATCAATCGATCGACATGACCCTCTAGCAGCACGGCTCCAGTCTCCGCATTTACCAGTGGCTGCCGATCGCGAGAAGAGAAGCTTTTGTTTTACTCGCCGCGATGGATTCTTCGAGCAAGCCGATGAATGGGAGTGCCGGCGGCAGTCCAGTGGGCGACGAGAGGAAAATGGGCGATCATGAGCACGAGTTCCGGATTAGCATCATCCTGCTGAGGAGCTTCTTGCTGGTTCTGGTGATCATCTCGGAGGCTCTCATGGTCACCGATCGAGAGACCGGCTCAGTCCCTCTTCCGTTCTTCGGCCTCCCAAGGCCCGTCTTCGTCACTAAAACCGCGAAGTATGAGCTCGTCACTGGTCTCAAGTAAGTGCTCCTCTTTTCCCTCTTTCTCTGCCGCGAGAGCTCTGTTTCCTCGATTTTGATTCTCTCCCAGGTTCTATGTGGATGCGCTGGGAGTAGTGATCGGCTACACGGTGCTCCATCTTCTTTTCAACATCGGCCTCGTCGCGACCAAGGGAACAGTGGTGGATTGCAAAAGCGTTGCCTGGATCTCTTTCATCGCAGACTCGGTCAGTTTCTAGAATTTAATGTTCGCTTTTTGCTTTCGTAAGTTCTTGTGTACGTTCTTCCGGTGTTCTTGAAGTTTGCTACTCTGTCGATCGTCCCAAGTTGCTCGGTATCTCCGTAGTCCTTCCCGAGCCCGTGATTGAAGTTTGATAGTCCTGTGAATCGCGTGAAATGTTAATGAGTGCTTTTGTCGTGTTTCCATGCTTCTCTGCTGGGCTGCAAATGATCAAAAGGATTTCTTTCCTTTGATTTGATTATCATCCTCGGCTGTGATCGAACAGATATCTTTTTTCTTCTCTGCCTGTCAAATCGCTGCTACTCGGAAGATTTCTCGTTCTTTAATCGCTGCTGCTAGAAGAATTCCTTTTCATTGATCCATGTTTCTTAAAGTTCCTCCAGGATCGTGTTTGATCATCCACTCTTACTTTGATCGTGTTTGAGACAATCTCTCACTCTGTTTTTCTTCTTCCAGATGATGGGTTATCTCCTGCTCAGCAGCGCCGCAGTGGCAACCGAGATTGGATACCTGGCCGAGGAAGGAGCTCCGGCGGTGCTGTGGAGAAAAGTTTGCAACGCTTTCGGCTACTTCTGCACGGTTTACGCGATCTCGGTTGTAATTTGCTTCATCGCTGCTCTCGTTTCTTTCGTGGTGGTGGGCATTTCGGCGTATCATCTCTTCCGGCTCTATGGGATCCAGCAGCAAGCGGCGCGCGAGAAAGAAAAGTTATCCGCCGAGATGTAAATAGTTGAATTGGGAAAGTGTTTTAGGGTTCTTGGGTTTTGAAAGTTTTAGGGCTCTTGAGTGATGGAAAGAGCTATGGACACTGCGCCGGCGCCGTGAGTGTTGATCTTTGGCTCTCACTCGCGATTGATTCGGCCACTTGTCTTGCAGCTACGAGGCGCCGCGGTCGTTCCAGCGCGTGGAGGCAATGCAGCCGCTGCTGGACGAGGCCTTGGATCCTAACAAGGAGCTGTGGCTGCTCCGGCTCCCCGATGTGAGTCGAAATCGCGAATGCGTGAGTGAGGTCTGATTGTTTCGTGGCAGCTAGATCTCGAGGAGCTGTCGAATACGAGCTGGAGATTGAAGCTCGAGGCCGCCGATGGCAATATGGGGCATTTGGTATGCAATGGTAGATAGAAATTCATAGTTTTTCTTTGTTCTTGATGAGAAGTTCTCGCGGATCATCGGCAGGAGTGAAGTATAGCTTTCAAAGACACGACATTCAAGGGAGCAGCAAGTACGCCTATGTTCCAACTCAAGACAAGATCGAAGGTGAGATAGATCTCGCAGAGTTTCTTTTGAGTTTCTAAAGCTTTTGCTATGGATTTTAGTGAGGCCAGTGCCGGTGGAAGTGAGCATTGTGAGGAGCGTCGAGCCGACAATTGCTCATCCTGTTGCTGCCGAGAACGTGGATGCTGCTCCAAATCCCGCGGAAGGTACGAGATTTTTTCTCCCAGAACGAAGATGTCACGAACACTTTCGAGCAGAGATCGCGTCTGTGGGTGCTGTATCCGATCAGGAAAGGAGCGGGATCACCAGAGAATCTAGCAAGCGCAGCAAATCTTTGTCCAAGAAACGATCACAATCCGAAGGCGGCGAATCGAGCAAGGGAAAGAGAAGCAAGCTCGACTTGTCCAAATAGTCGCCCAAGAACCCTAAGTTTTGTGGGGCAGGAAATTTTAGGGTTCTTCGATTTCTCTCGCGCTTGGGCAAGATGGTGATGATCAGGCTGTACCAGTATGCTGGGCTCACGATTGGCACATACTTTGCGCTCACTTACTACATCGCCCACAAAGATTGGGTCAGGGAATTGAAGTACACGAGGGTAAGCGAGTGAAATTTGGATCGCCCAAGAGAAATTTTTCTTGTGGGTCTTCTCCAGGAAGAACAGATCGAGAAGGCGAGGCAGCTCCGGCAAGAGAAGAAGCGAATGAGAGAGGAGCAATTGAGGACTAATCCCATCTTGCGGGAAGAGCAAGAGAGGAGTGCCGAGGAGTGGAAAGTGAGAGTGGGCACAATCCATTAAATCTTGTGGGCGATGGATCATCGCGTTCCAGCGAATAAGCTCTTGAGTCGTGTGATGAGAGAAGTTTCTCGATGGAAAGTTCTTCCCGGAAGAACTGTTCATGGAAATCGGACAAAGCAGTGTGAATTTGTCAAGGAAATTTGTTGTTACTTTCGTCATCGGCAGAGAGTGATTGACCACCTAACAGTTTGCTGTGCTTTGACGCTACGCTTAACGGGTGGCATACCGCGCGGTGGCGCTCGGTGCCGGCAGTGCCATTGGGTCGTGCCGCACGGCACGGCCGGCGATGGCGACGCATGATTTAGCGCGCGTTTGGCGCCGCGAGGTTTTCTCTTTCACTCAAACCGTGCGCTTGACCGCGTGTGCCCAATCGCGCGGGCCGGCACAGCTATAGCTCAAACGACAAGCTTTTTGGTTTTTCTTTTGCGCTCTTCCTTTGTTGTGGCGAGGGCAAGCATTGGGGAGAAAGGAGGCGCCGGCATCTTCCTCGATCGATCCATCGCATTGCTATCGGTTCTTGGCCCGCCCGATCGATCGCACATCGATCGGCTCCTGGTTCTAGGGGATTGTGCGCGAAATATTTCGGGATCGATCGGCGGCATTTCGATTTCGCAGCGGTCGATCGGCAGCTGGATGAGAGATGCCTTGCATCGATCCCTTAGGGCTTTGTGATCTCTCGCATGCATTCCGGGCTCCAGTGAAGATCCAGTCTTTGCATCCTCCTTTCCTCTTCTTCTTCTTGTCACGGCTGGAGCAATGGAGAGATTTCAGCTCCTTCCGCTAAATCGAGTCAAGGTCATGGATGTGACCAGTGCTTCACAGGAAAGCTCAGACGAAGAGTCTCAGCGAGAAGTCGTGCTCGTCGCGGTTGACGCGAGCAAGAAGATGACCGACTATGCTCTAAACTGGGCTCTAGCAAATGTCGTGGTTCATCCAGGCGATAGGATCGTGTTCCAGGCGATTGCGCCCGCCAGCAGCACTAGCAACTCCTCAGATTCTGGTAACAGTCGTCCATACGCTTAGATTTAAAGTTTCATTCGATGCTTTCCAGTTTGGAAGAGCTGGGGATTTCCTGCGCTTGGTGGAGAATGCGCAGCAGCAGCGGCTGCGTCGCTCAAAGCCACTAGGAAGGAAGAGCTCGAAGAAATTCGGAACAAATGCTCTATGGTGATGGAGAAGCTCCGAAAAATCCACGATCTTAAAAAGGTAAGCTTGTTTTTTATATTTCGGTGTGGTCGAGCTAAGTTATAGATTCTATCTCGCGAGCATAGGTGCATACGACACTAGAAATCCTCCAGTTTGCTCGTAGAGGAGTCATTCCATCGGAGGCCAAGAGATTCCGGGCAACTTGGGTGGTGCTTGATAGGTACGTCTTCTAAGTTGGAAGTATGATGGTGTTTACTGTGACAGTCCTTTTCACGCCAGGAATCTAAAGAGCGAGGGTAAACTTTGCCTGCAAGAGCTTAACAGCAATATCGTCGTTGTGCATCGCAGCAATCCAAAAATCCTGAGGCTGAATCTCAAAAGACGTGATTTGCCGTACGATGAAGAAGAATCCATCGACTCGTCATCCGTTCTTCTGAATGGACTGAGCTTGTCTGTGATGCCCAAGGGCTTCGATCAGCTGTACTGGGAGAGCTCGACATCCAGCTCAGAGGCCAGTAGCCCGGATTCACGACTTGTGACGGCACCGAAATTCGAGCTTTCAGTTTTAGAAGAGTTGCTGAAAAATGAAACCCGTAGAAAAGGTAGGACGCTCGCTCGCTCTTATTCCGTTTTAACCATTGCTTTGCAGGTCCATCGCCATCAGAAGTGCTAAACAGCACAACTTCATCACCAGCTAGCCATAAGCCACAAGTTCTTAATGACTTCTTGCGAATGAAGGAAAGCCGGGAGTATACCGAGGAAACGGATACGCAAAGAAACGTATCGAGGCCAGTAGATCGAGTGTCCAGCGTCCGAAAGCAGATCCATCTGAGAAAGCAGTCGTCTCCGCAGCCTCCTCCTTTATGCTCCATTTGCCAGCACAAAACGCCTGTCTTCGGCAAGCCGCCCAGGAAATTCACTTTCGCAGAGCTGCAACTTGCAACCGGTGGCTTTTCGGACGTGAACTTTCTCGCAGAAGGTGGATACGGTTCAGTTTACAGGGGCAGGCTCCCTGATGGCCAAGCCGTTGCTGTCAAACAGCATAAGCTGGCTAGCACACAGGGCGACAAAGAATTCTGCGCGGAAGTCGAAGTTCTCAGCTGTGCTCAGCAGCGAAACTTGGTGATGCTGATCGGCTACTGCGCTGAAGACAAGAAGAGGCTGCTCGTTTACGAGTTCGTTTGCAATGGCTCACTGGATTCGCACCTGTATGGCAGGCGGTCTAAAACAGTGACTCTGGAATGGCCGGCTCGCCAGAAAATCGCGCTAGGTGCCGCGCGAGCTTTGAGGTACTTACATGAAGAGTGCCGAGTGGGGTGTATTGTTCATCGTGACATGCGACCAAACAACATTCTGTTAACTCACGACTTCGAGCCAATGGTAAGTTCTTGTTTTAATTTCTATTCGATATGATAGTCCGGCTCACTTGTCTGAGCATCAGGTGGGAGATTTTGGACTTGCAAGATGGCAACCCAATGGAGAACTCGGAGTAGAGACAAGAGTCATTGGCGCTTTTGGGTAACTCTTGCTGTGTTTTTTTTCCTTGGTGACACTGGAGCTGTAGGTACTTGGCACCTGAGTATACTCAAACAGGACAAATCACAGAGAAAGCCGATGTGTACTCTTTTGGCATCGTGCTCCTGGAGCTTGTAAGTGGTCGGAAGGCTGTGGATTTATCTCGCAACAAAGGAGAGATGTGCTTGTCGGAATGGGTAAGTCCATAAGCAATGAAGTTTGCTGCATCTAATCTTGTTGAATGCAGGCACGACCATTTCTTCGAGAGCAGAAGTATGAGAAACTGATTGATCAGCGGCTTCGGGGAAGATTTTGTGTAAACGAGGTGGAAAACATGCTCCTTGCGGCCACTCTTTGTATTGACCCCGATCCTTTGATTCGTCCTCGAATGTCTCAGGTCAGATCTTTACATGCTGTGTGCTTCACAGCTTGACGTGTCTTTTTCACCAGGTTCTTCGTCTTTTGGAAGGAGACTCGCTCTCAGACACAAGCTTAAGCTCTAGCAGCAGTGGACTTCTCAATGGTTCTCCAGTTAGTATTCTATTGATAGGAGATCTCTCCCAAGACAGTAGCAGCAGTAGGAGCAGCAGTGCTTCAAGCGTACTAAAGAGTTTCAGCAGAACTCAACACAGCAGCCGATCAAGCTCCAACGCAGGGAGCCCTTTGAACCCTGCTGCCACTCAAGCTCTGGCTTTTAAGAAGTATAACAAAAATACAACACGGCACACACAAGACTAATCTTATGTTTATACAAGACAAGTAAGTCTATTTGCATTCTACTTTCTTTTCATCGTTCTCCCATCAGTGACAACACAGGAGAACGAGCCTTTCAAGTTCCAGAAGCGTTACTCCAACGAGCTAATTACGAGGAGCCGGGGATGGCATCAAAGAGGCCGAGGAGTTCCTCCTCAGCGGGCCGCAGCTTTCTCCCGCTCTCCTCGGCATCGATGCGAGCGATAACACTCTGGAAGACGTGAGTGTCGCAGGGAACGACGAGGCGGCAGTTGTCGCAAAAGCCCAGCTCTTCCTCGGTCAGCTCCAGGAGCTTTCGAAATAGGGGGTGATTGATGTGCTTGAGCTTGACGAGGAAGTGCTCCGTGTTGCCATGGCCAACGTAAACAGGGACACTGCCGCCCTTGATTGCCTTGTGATGACAAACAGTGCTGTGGTGTTTTTGGGGATTGTTCATGGTTTCATAGGAGGGGGAAAAATTATTGCCATGTAACTAACTTACTATGGTGTGAATGATTTTGAACGCTTTTCTTTGGTGAGAATGATGGTGATGATCCATTGCCACTGTTCACCCTAAACCCTAAACCGGCAAAAATCTATTTCCATGTGGGGTCGATCAGGTCAACGAAAAGGGCTAGTGTGGCAAAATTTGACTAAATTTAGTGTTGAAAGAACGTGATTCACACTTTTTTGTCGCCTAGTTTGTACCACCTTTTTTAAAGGCAGTGTGGTGCATGGGGATGGCGCATGTAAAATTGTACAGTTGTATTGTCGACATTTAAACGCTATTGGCCACATAGTCAACTTTGCAGTTAAGAAAATGAAAAAAAGAATGGGAGAAATTCCGCGAGGATATGCCGTAATGCAGGGTGGGTTTTTCTTTTTTCCTCCTCGGCTCTAGGGTTTTTGGGTGCTGCTCTGCAAGGTAGGAGGTCCTTCCAGTGGATTTCTTCTTTTCTTGTGGCTAATGAGCTCGCTGGAATCTTATGACCTCGATCTGTTCGATGTGGAGTCGGGTTCCTCGGATCAGCTGCTGGAGCAAATGTTTGAGGATCAGATGAGCAATCCGGGGGCGGAAGTGGAGAAGGGCGATCGCGGCGGCGAGGCCAATGCGGGATCCCCGGAGATGTTCGAGCAGAGCCTGAGCGATGACGAGACGACGCACGACAGCCGCGGTTCCTCGAGGAACAAGAGGAAGTTCTCCAAGAATCTCCTCTCGGAGCGCAAGCGCCGGCAGAAGCTCAACGAGAAGCTCTACTCGCTTCGCGCTCTCGTCCCAAAGATCACAAAGGTGAGGGAAATCTCTTACATTTCTATCCTCTCTTTCTCTCTCTCTCGATTGATTGATGGATGGAATGACGATCTTTGGGGATTTCTTACAGATGGATAAGGCATCCATCATGGCCGACGCCATCGGCTATGTCGAGGAGCTCAAATCGCAGGTCTCGGCGATGCGGAGAGAGATCAGTGCCATCGAAGAGGATCACCGCTCCCCCAATTCATCGCTGACGACCGCGTCCCCGGCGTCGCCCTCGCCATCGCTCGAGGACGATCATCACAGCGGCGATCGGCGAGATCACAAACTAGCGAGCCTCCAGGTAAGAGAACAAGAGAATCTCTTCGGCATCAAAGACGATGCCCTTATCATCGCATTTAAAAGTGTCGTGATCACACACAGATAGACGTGGAGAAACTGGACGAATGTAACAGGATGTGCCTGGTTCGATTCCGGTGCTGCCCGACCGTACTAGCGGACATCGTTGGCGCCCTAGAGTCGCTAGATTTGGAGGTGCTGGGCGCTAGCGTCAACACCTTCCAGGGCCAAATCTTCACCACGTGCATGGCCAAGGTTAGCGCTATAGCTATCAAGCCACGCCATTTTTATCGCTTATTTTGGCAGGTACGGGACGAGCGCCTTATGAAGAAGGAAAATCTCGAGGGAATCGTGTCCAGCGCAATGATGGATGCCAAGCTTTGTGTTTGAGTTGAGCCAACGGCTGAGATTTTTGCCGTAGTAATGAAGCTTGTCCGACCCAGATGGTGCCACGTGGTCTATGAATCTTTTGGGGACGTGGCGGACTGGAAAGGCTGATGTGCCGCGGTGTCACTGGCCAGACACCGATGGCCTTGCTGTCAGGTCTTTTGACCGCCCGATCTCGGGATAGTGAGATTTTAGGGTTCTTCGTTTCGTCGATGGCGCTCGAGGATGATCCTCTGCAGGCGCTGCCAGATTCTTCCTCCGAGTGCGATGCATCACCTACATTCTCGTTTCCCTGCGCGCCGAGCGCGGATTTGCATCCGATGCCACTGCGTCTCTGCAGCGCCGGATCTGGTTTCAGCTTCGACGTGGTGGATCGAGGAGATTCGCAGCAGCAAGAGGTTCTGGAGCTCCCCATGCCGGAGGTAACGAAATGCTGGGAGGTCGATTCGACTAGCTCTAGCTCCATTTCGGAGATCGTAGAACTAGTGGAAACCGGATGTAATTTGCAAGAGGAGGCAGCGAGCGGGGACAGTCCCGGGCCGGATCGAGGCTCCGGCGAGGAGAAATCTGCGTCTCCGTCGAGCAATGGCTCGCCCTCGCGCAAGGAGGAGGGGGAGGACAGATCTTTGCCCGCCAGGGCCGAGTCTGCGCGCCACGGCCATGGAATTTTGGGGCAGCTCATTGGGACTTGCGACGACATTGATCGCCACTGCGATGTTCTCGACGTGGTGAGGAAGGGCGTCCACAACTGGAGGATGGTGGCGAGGATGTCTGGATGGCTGGCTTGCCGTGGGTGCTGTCACAGGCCAGCGAATTGCTGCCACCATTCCACTGGATCTCCAAAAAGTCCTGGTGGTCACTCTCGGAAACTCTCGCAAGACACCACTGCCTCGACGAATTCCAACTCGTCCAATTGCTGCGCGAAGAAATCCACGCTTTCTCCACTGCGGCAGCACCACCCAGAACATTCTTCCTCGTTCTCGAAGAGAGAGTCACTGGCTGCCACTACTGCTACACCCGCCACCCCGGGCCCTTGCTGTGTGAGCAACGGTGGTAGAAGATCCGGAGCTACGCCATTAAGATCTTTCAAGCTCTCTTCCTCGGACGAGCTCTCGGTTCACGTTCCTCCTGGGATGATCGGCCTCGCCTGGCTCGACACCGAGCCCCTGCTGCTAACGTCCAAGTCGTACACCTTTCCAGCGACGTCCTCGTTCTCGCTCCAAGAGCTCGCGTTGGAGAGCACCAGAGTCCTCCATCACGGCTATCTCCACAGAGTTTCCATCCTGGAAGGAAAGCTTGGAGTGGCATGGATTGACGGACAAGCCAAGGTGTTGGAACCCGGAGTTCACGTACTTTCCTGCTCGTCCTTTGCGTATACCACTGCCGATGACCGGGATTCTTCTCACAAAGAGGTGGCGCTGGGGCCGTACCGAGTGGTCACCGTGAGAGAAGACGAGGTTGGCATCAAGTACTGCAACCGCAAGCCACACTTGCTCTACGCCGGCAGGTTCGTTCGTCTGTGTGTTCTTTCCAGTTTCTAGTCTTACGTTTGTGACAGATGCGTGTAGGCATTTGATTGACATATCCAAGGTGGAAGTTTTCGCTGGATTCGAGTCGCTCAAGATCCGCAAGACGACTGCGTCCGACCTGGTTGCGTGCTCGAGAGACGAGATGATGGTGGAGGCCCAGGTCTCGTTTCGCTGGCAGATCTCAGCGCAGGACATTGCCTTTGCTCGCGGAGCGTCCGTGCCCGACATTGAGAACGCCGTGATCGCGAAGGTGAAGAGGGCGTTCGCGATCGTCTTCTGGTGCTTGAGGGGCGACGAGATAACGGAGCCTTACTCGCAGGTGAGGGAGGACGGCACTCTTCACATATCCGGACCGATGAAGGCCTTCTCGAGCGACATCACGAAGAAGTGCTTGGAAGCTGTGGTGGATCTCTTTGACGAGGTCTGTTCTTTCTCTTGCCTGTTCTTTCTTTTGGCTTTAGCTTTTTGTCTGTGTTTGTTTCCAGGGATGGTCAGTGACTTTCTGGGGGATGTGGTTTGAGACTCTAAAACTCAAGCGCTACTCTCGGATCAGACCTATGAAAGGTCTTCAAGACGTTCAACTTGAAAGTAAAAATTCCATGGCCAGAAAAAAGAAGGTGAGCGTTCTTCAATCAAGCACAGTGCGATAGCTAAGCTTTTCTGTTCTTTGTCACAGGTACAAATAGTTTTGACAGAAGATTGAAGTCTCCTCTCCAAATTGGAAGACAATTTGTTGTTTCAGAAAAGGTATCAGCTACAGACGAGTAACAACTGTTTTGAGTTTCGATTTCTTATTAAGAACTTCCTACTGTTGCTGCGGCGTTGTCTTTTGGATTCTAGTTATTGTCTCCTAGTGACAAACCGGCAGGCCATCGGGAACCCCTGTGTTCGTCTTCATCCTGGTCCCCACGAGGTAAACAGCATAAGTGTGACTTTCTGTTGTCCATTCTTTCCAAACGCGGATCAAGATGATGATCAACTCGCTTGTAATATGTTTTGCAGTTCTGAGCGTCGCATTCTTTCGTTTTGATCCCGGTTTAGCGGAAGCTCAACAAGCACCTGCGAGAGCACCCGCGGTAGCACCCGTAGGAGCACCCGTAGGAGCACCAGCGAGAGCACCGCGGAGCTCACCACCTGGAGATGAGAAATGGGACAAAGTCAAGGTTGGTTACTGGCCATCCTACGCCTCGCAGATGTTCCCAGCATCGGATCTCAGCACAGACGTGTACACGCACCTCTGCTTCGCGTTCGCGAACGTCAACAGCACAACTTTCCGGGTGGAAATCCCGGTGGAGACGATGGATGTCGCGCGAGAGTTTACGAGCCTGGCCAAGAGCAAGAATCCGCTCATCAAGACCCTCGTCTCGATAGGTGGCGCCGGGGCCAACACGACGGTCTTCTCGCAGATGGCGAGCAGCAGTTCCAGCAGGGGCGAATTCGTGCGGAGTAGCATCTCCTTGGCACGAACTTACGGGTAAGTTAACACTATCTTCCGTAGTTCTTGGAACAATAGATCTGACTTTGTGTGATCGCTTTCCAGGTTTGATGGCATCGACGTGGACTGGGAATTCCCTCACTCGGCAGCCGACATGACCAACATAGCTTCGCTCTTCTCCGAGCTCCGCCAACAAATCGATTCCGAGGCGCAGTCGACGTATCGCAGCCGACTGTTACTCACTGCAGCGGTGTACTACAGCAACATGGCCAGGGACCCTTCGATTCCGGGCATGCGCTACGAGTACCCAGTACAAACCATGGCTAGAACACTCGACTGGGCGAACATCATGTGCTACGACTACCACGGCACCTGGGAGCCATCTCTCACCGGCGAGCACTCGGCTCTCACAGATCTCTCGTCAAATCTAAGCTCCAGCTATGGCATCCAATCGTGGCTGGATGGCGGGCTTCCTCCTCACAAGGCGGTGATGGGCTTGGCCGCGTATGGGCGATCGTGGCTGCTGGCAAACTCGTCGCTGGATCACGGCGTCGGTGCTGCTGCGCGGGGGCCCGGGCCGGCGATGCCGGGTGGAAGTGCCGAGACGGGGGTCCTGTTCTACAGCGAGATCCAGGAGTTCATCCGGTCGAAGAACGCGACAGTGGTAGACGATAGCGAGACGAGCAGCGCGTACGCGTTTGCTGGGGATTTGTGGGTGGGATTTGATAACCAGGCATCGATCGAGAAGAAGGTGGAGTTTCTCAAGAGCAAAGAGATGCGTGGGTTTTTCTTCTGGACGGCAAGTTTTGATAGCGGCGCGGTGCTCACCACCACAGGCAAGTTCTTTCTTGCTTTGTTTATACATTCGATGTGATTTTCGTTCTTGTTGCACAGCCTCCCAGACGCTTGATCGGGAAAGTGTACCTCCACCATTTCCTGGACCAAAAGATGGAGAGAAATCAGGGGCTTTGCGAAGCATTAGATTCGAAAAGAGTAGGCTAGTCTTGTGGATCCTCCTGTTTGCTTTTCCCAATCTTCTCCGTTGACGGAATGGCGTTGATATTCTCAATATTAATTCGTACATGTATACAAACCATATTAGTAGCGACAAGTCATCACAGATTAGGGTTAAGGTGGCACATTAGGGTTTGAAGAGTTCTTGGGCAGTGGGAAATGGCGTGTGTGTGAGGTCAGATGTAGTAGCAAGGGCGCTAGAAAAGATGAAAAGCTCAGAGGTAGAAGAAAAGCAGATTGTCCAACTTCTCGGTGGCTTCAAGCTTGAAGACGACAAGAAAATGGAGGTGAAACAAGAATTGAAGCAACTGAATGAAGGATTCAAGCACGCAATTGCAAGATACCTAGAAGTAAGTGCATCAGGGGTTGGCCATGGGCCTTTTGTTGTCATAGAGACTGTGTCCTACGACTCTTGGGAGATCTGGTCTCTTTCAATGGAGACTTCTTGGAGATTGGGATTCTTTTACGAGCTTGAGGGAGGAGAGTTTGGGACAGTTTATCTCTTTGGTGACCCTTCCAGTTTGCACGAGGCAACAGCTTCATGGTTTGTTCTAGAAGTGTCAGAACAAGCGGCTAACTTCTTCACAACTCACTTTCCAGCAAAGGATGTGCCAAGGTTCTGTGAATTGGTATTTGTTGCAGGCAGCACCACTTTCAAGTTAGCAAATGGATCTCGCAAAGAACCAAATGCTTCATTCTCGAGTATTGATTATGCAGAGTACTCAAGGTGTGCCATCGAAGTCGCGTACAAAAATGAAGATATAAAAACACTTAAAGCAGAGGTTAAGGGATGGGAACAGGCTAGATGCCGTTTAGCGATCGGAATTAAAATCAAGTAAAAAAAAACCTCAAATGCTCTGCATGTCAAACTCAACTGCTTCTGGAAAGAAGCTGGGAAGAGGCGCAAAGACATTGATTTTAGTCCGAAGGTGTGCTCCAAGGATAATAGAGACAAATTCTGTTTGAAGTTTCTGTTGAGCTGGTTGTCTACAAATGTTGAGCCAAAGCATGACTTTCTTGTGGAGTGGGATCTCTATGAACTCCAAAAGCACATTATGACTGCCCTCTTCAGAGAGTACCAGGGGAACGGGATCGTTGTTGACAGGTTGCCAGTGAACCCCGAGATCGAACCCCAAGATCGATGATATGCTTTATTGTAGCAGAGACGATGGGAGAAAAATGATTCTCTGTGACAATGCCGAGGTAAGCTTTCATTATAATTGCTTGAACTAATTCTTTGGTTTTTGCAGTGTAAGGTTGGATGGTACCATTTGGATTGTGCTGGGTTTGCAGACGATGAACCACTTGATGACATCATCTTCTGTGTCTAGCTATAATGTGGAAGTGATACAAAGCAAGGCAAGGACTCAAAATACACTGAAAATTCGTTCCATGCAGAGACAAGATATGATCAAAGAGTGAAACTCTGTACTTCTTCCTAGAAAGACAAACCTTAATGTTCATGTTAATGTTAATGTTCAAACCTTAATGCCCTAGATGCTTAGAATATTCTCTATTTCTGTGCGAAAGAGCACAGCAATTCGCGGGAGCATTTGGTCAGCCGTGTGTCATCTCGATCGATCTCTCCGACATGGAGTCGCGCAAGCAGGTCTGGACCTAGCGGGGTTAGCAATCTTTCGTCTTTCCCAGGAGAGCATCAAGAAGGAGAATAGCCAGATGGGGATGGTGCCTCTTTTCCAGGGCCAGGAGAGTGTTACTGGCGCGGTCGGTTGGATCATCCTTGTTTCCCAATTTTTAGTAATTTTTTTTTCTGTTTAGGTGTGTATCGATCCCCTTCCCGGCCGGAAGATCGAGCATCAAGGAGTGAAAATTGAGCTTCTTGGCCAAATAGGTGAGTTTTTGCGTTTCTCTTGTTTCGCTGATTTTGGTTTGTGGATTGCCAGAGTTTCTACGACTTCACTTCGACCGAGGGAATTTCTACGACTTCACTTCCTTGGGTGTGTGAGTTTGTTTCTTGCTCTAGATTGTCATCTGATACTTCCGTTTCGTGTTTTACAGTGAGGGAGCTCGATGTTCCGGGTGTGATTCACGAGAGGAAAATCTATCCTTTTGAGTTTTCGTCAGTGGAAATGCAATATGACTCGTAACAATGGTGTCAACGTGAGGCTTAGGTAGAAATTCACGGCTTGGATATTTTTTGTAATGGATTGTTTTGCCAGATATGTTCTTAAGGTGACTATAACTCGCAGCTACGTACCTAAGATTGTGGAATACTGGGTAATGAGATACTTGTGGAGAAACATTCATCGCTCTTACGCTTTGTTTTTACCAGGTTCGAAAACTTCTAGTGCACCCCGACGTGAACAACAGTATCAAGGTGAAAACATCGATAGTTTTCTTTTTAAAAAAGCTTTTTCTCTTTGTAGATGGAGGTCGGCATCGAGGATTGCTTGCATATCGAATTCGAATACAGTAAGAGCAAGTGCGTTTCGAATACGTGGAAACATGCTTTGTGTCAACTGGGCGTGAGTGCTTTTTCTGTGCCAGATTCCACTTAAAGGATGTAATCGTCGGGAAGATTTACTTTCTTCTGGTCCGCATCAAGATAAAGCATATGGAGATGGAGATTAGAAAGTGCGAGTCGACCGGCTCAGGGGAAATCCCGGTGGAGAACATCGATATCGCGCGAGAGTGTACGAGCCTGGTCAAGGCCCTCCTCTCGATAGGTGGCGCCGGGGCCAACACGACGTTCTTCTCGCAGATGGCGAGCAACAGTTCCAGCAGGGGCGAATTCGTGCGGAGTAGCATTACGAAGTTACGGGTAAGTTAACACTATCTTCCGGAGTTCTTGGAAGAATAGATCTAACTTTGTGTGATCACTTTCCAGGTTTGATGGCATCGACGTGGACTTGGAATTCCCTCACTCGCCAGCCGATATGACCAACATAGCTTCGCTCTTCTCCGAGCTCCGCCAAAGAAATCGTCTTCGAGGCACAGTCGACGTATCGCAACCGATTGCTACTCACTGCAGCGGTGTACTACAGCACCATGGCCATGGACCCTTCGATTCCGGGCATGCGCTACGAGTACCCAGTACAAACCATGGCTAGAACACTCGACTGGGCGAACATCATGTGCTACGACTACCACGGCCTGGGAGCCATCTCTCACCGGCGAGCACTCGGCTCTCACAGATCTCTCGTCAAATCTAAGCTCCAGCTATGGCATCCAATCGTGGCTGGATAGCGGGCTTCCTCCTCACAAGGCGGTGATGGGCTTGGCCGCGTATGGGCGATCGTGGCTGCTGGAAAACTCGTCGCTGGATCACGGCGTCGGTGCTGCTGCGCGGGGGCCCGGGCCGGCTATGCCGGGTGGAAGTGCCGAGACGGGGGTCTTGTTCTACAGCGAGATCCAGGAGTTCATCCGGTCGAAGAACGCGACAGTGGTAGACGATGGCGAGACGAGCAGCGCGTACGCGTTTGCTGGGGATTTGTGGGTGGGATTCGATAACCAGGCATCGATCGAGAAGAAGGTGGAGTTTCTCAAGAGCAAAGAGATGCGTGGGTTTTTCTTCTGGACGGCAAGTTTTGATAGCGATGCGGTGCTCTCCAGCACAGGCAAGTTCGTTCTTGCTTTGTTTATACATTCGTGAGCGATTGATGTGATTTTCGTTCTTGTTCAGGCGCTTGATCGGGAAAGTGTACCTCCACCATTTCCGGGACCAAAAGATGGAGAGAAATCAGGGGCTTTGCGAAGCATTAGATTTGAAAAGAGTAGGTTAGTCTTGTGGATCCTCCTGTTTGTTTTTCTCAATCTTCTCCGTTGACCCACGTTGAAATAATATCGTATATTAAAACACATTAGGGTTTGAAGGGTGGCAGAGGCTAGGGTGTTAGGAAAAAGGAAAAGCTTAGAAAAAAAACAGATTGTCCAGCTTTTCAAGTTCAAAGACAACAAACAAATGGAGGCACAGCAGGAATTGAAGCGACTGAATGAAGGATTTAAGCATGCTGTTGCAAAGTACTTACAAGTAAGTGCATCAGGGATTGGCCATGGGCCCTTTGTCATTGCAGAGACTGTGTCTAGCGGCACCTGGGAGATCTGGTCTCTTTCAATTGAGACTTGTTGGAGATTGGGATTCTTTTACGAGCTCGAGGGAGGAGAGTTTGGGACAATTTATCTCTTTGGTGACCCTTCTGAAGTGCATGAGGTGACAACTTTGTGGTTTGTTGTTGAAGTGGTGGAACAAGCAACTAACTTTTTTGCGACTCACTTTCCAACAAAGGATGTGCCAAGGTTCCACAAATTAGTTCACACTAAGGGCAGTACCATTTTCAAACTAACAAATGGATCTTACAAAGAATCAGATGCTTCCTTTTCAAGTATTGACGATGAAGAATACCCAAAGTGCACTATTGAAGTCGCATACAAAAATGAGGATGTGGAAACACTCAAAGCAGAGGTTAAAGGATGAGAACAAACTAGGTGCCGTTTAGCGGTTGAGATTAAAATTGAGTCGAAAAGAACCTTGGATACTCTACATGTCAAACTTAACTGTTTCTGGAAAGAAGATGGGAAGAGGTGTAAAGACCTCAATTTTAGTCCAAAGGTGTGCTCTGAGGATAATAGGGACAAATTCTGCTTGAGGTTTCCTTTGAGCTGGTTGTCTTCAAATGTTGAACTGAAGCATGACTTTCTCGTGGAGTGGGATCTTTATGAACTCCAAAAGCACATTATGGATCTCCTCTTCAGAGAGTACCAGAGGAACAGGATCATTGTTGACAGGTTGCCACTGAACCCTGAGATCGATGACAAGCTTTATTGTAGCTGCCAGGGGAGAGATGATGGGAGAAAAATGATTCTCTGTGACAATGCTGAAGTAAGTTTTCATTATAATCGCTAGAACTAATTCTTTGGTTTTTGCAGTGTAAGGTTGGATGGTACCATATGGATTGTGCTGGGTTTTCCGACGATGAAGCACCTGATGAGGTCATCTTCTACTGTCAACAGTGTCTAGCTATAATGGCACGATCTTGGAAGTGATATAACAACGTATATTGAAAATTCGTTCCATGCAGAGGTGGCGGAGACGAGTATATCAAAGAGTGAAACTCTGTACTTCCTAGAAAGACAAACCTTAATGTTCTGATCTGGCATGGACGTACATTAGCCCTAGATGCTTCGAATATTCTCTATTTCTGTGAGCTAGAGCGCGAAAGAGCAAGGGCACGAGAGGGCGGCAGCAATGCAGAGCCTCTTCGCGGGAGCCTTTGGTCAGCCGTGTGTCATCTCGATCGATCTCTCGGACATGGAGTCGCGCAAGCAGGTCTGGACTGTGCCTTCGCTCTTTCTTGACCTAGCGGGGTTAGCTTAGCAATCGTTGGTCTTTCCCAGGCGAGCATCAAGAAGGAGAATGGCCAGATGGGGATGGTGCCTCTTTTCCAGGGCCAGGAGAGTGTTACTGGCGAGGTCGGTTGGATCATCCTTGTTTCCCAATTTTTAGTAATTTTTTTTTCTGTTTAGGTGCGTATCGATCCTCTTCCTGGCCGGAAGATCGAGCATCAAGGAGTGAAAATTGAGCTTCTTGGCCAAATAGGTGCGTTAGTTTTTGCGTTTCTCTTGTTTCGCTGATTTTGGTTTGTGGATTGCCAGAGTTTTACTTCGACCGAGGGAATTTCTACGACTTCACTTCCTTGGGTGTGTGAGTTTGTTTTTTGCTCTAGATTGTCATCTGATACTTCCGTTTCGTGTTCTACAGTGAGGGAGCTCGATGTTCCGGGTGTGATTCACGAGAGGAAAATCTATCCTTTCGAGTTTTCGTCAGTGGAAATGCAATATGACTCGTACAATGGTGTCAACGTGAGGCTCAGGTAGAAATTCACGGCTTGGATATTTTTTGTAATGGATTGTTTTGCTAGATATGTTCTTAAGGTGACTATAACTCGCAGCTACGTACCTAAGATTGTGGAATATAAGGATTTCTGGGTAACTTGATACTTGTGGAGAAACATTTTCATCGCTCTTACAATTCGTTTTTCCAGGTTCGAAACTTTCAAACGCACCCCGACGTGAACAACAGCATCAAGGTGAAAACATCGATAGTTTGCTTTTGAAAAAAGCTTTTTCTCTTTGTAGATGGAGGTCGGCATCGAGGATTGCTTGCATATCGAATTCGAGTACAATAAGAGCAAGTGCGTTTTGAATACGTGGAAACATGCTTTGTGTCAACTGAGCGTGAGTGCTTTTTCTGTGCCAGATTCCACTTAAAGGATGTAATCGTCGGGAAGATTTACTTTCTTCTGGTCCGCATCAAGATAAAGCATATGGAGATCGAGATTAGAAAGCGAGAGTCGACCGGCTCAGGTGCCAACGCTTACAACGAAAGCGAAACACTTGCAAAGTTCGAAATCATGGATGGAGCGCCTGTCCGCGGTGAGAACTTCAAGTCTTTTGTTCCCCTCTCCTTTCAGATCTAACAATGCTTTTCCTCAGGTGAATCCATTCCCATTCGGCTCTTCCTGAGCCCCTACGAGCTGACCCCGACTTACCGAAACATCAACAACAAGTTCAGCGTCAAGTACTTCCTCAACCTCGTTCTGGTGGACGAAGAAGACAGACGCTACTTCAAGCAGCAGGAAGTGGTCCTCTACAGGGTCGACTGAGCACGCACACGCAAATCCGATTCTCAGTTTTGTATACTACTCTAGGAGGTAAGCTATTTCACGCGTTTGCAGCTATATTTCAGTTTTAGGAAGCCTGCCCGCGGAGTATTCACCTGAGAGGCCAGGCCAGAGAAATCCCGTGTGCGGCAAGTACTAGGCGGGCGAGCTCATCTTTTTTCTTTCTGGTTTCCCTGACCAAATAATCTTGTTTATAGCTTGATCGATTTCTTGCTTAGGAACCCAAAGCGTTTTCACAGAAGATCTTCATGGTTTCTTGACTTGTTGCGAGAAGAAGTCCAAGGTTTTATCTCTGTGATCTTTATTCCTTTGCAGCCACTTTCATAACTTTCTCCACGTCTGATAGAAACCCGTAGTGGGTCCTTACGTGATACACGTAGCGCTTCTTCTCGTCATCCAGAGTGGTGGGGATGATCTCAAATTCCAACTTGGCCAGAGTGGAGTGAGTTGCCCCGCATGATGCAAATCCAACAAGCGAACACCCGTTCAAAGAAAAGGTGGTGAAAGCTGGTTGTAGATTAAAAAAAACAAATATCGAAAATGTGATGTGGCTTGGCATTTATGCCTGTTGACAGAGGTTACCAAAATTTATTCACAGGATTTTGTAAGAACTTGAGAGGATTCCCGCGTCGTCCACATGAAACACGATGTTCTTTCTAGATTGTGATCTGAGGACCGCACGGTACCGCCATGGATTCACTGTACAGCATGCGGTTTTTTTCTTTTGTGTGTGTGCTAATTTTGATTTGCAAAGTACGTTTTTTTAATTTGTTCATCAACTTTCGCAATCGCCCACTTTCTTTACCTTGCTCCCGCACTCGACTATAACACTTCTCTGTGTGCAAATTCACCATCTTTGCCTCGCCCAAAGCCAAATTTGTGTGTGTGTGCATGAGCTATGCATGGCGAAAGAACATGATCTCTGCGTACTTGCAGCAACTGACTTCAACGCCAAGATGCCCGGTCCGCGGAAGGAAAATTCCGCAGAAAACAAAACACTCAAAGTCCAAACAGATCAAACCATCTGAACACGAGTTTGGAGTTTGGTAGCCTCCCGAAGACTTTTTCTCTTTGTTCAAACTCTCCCTCCTGTTGCCCCTGCTGCTGCCACGAAGAATTTTTCTTCAGCTCTTCAGCCTATTGTTGAACTTGTCATCATTTGCGTTGAAATCATCAAAACTAGAGAAAAAGAAAGGGCGTCAAGCAAAAGAAAAAGAAAAGAAAAAAGCTATTTGTCCCCACATTGATACTCTTTTAAGCAACCATTCAAAACCTTCGTCACCAAACTGTTTTCTCTCCACACCAACCTCACCTACTGGTCTCAAGAAAAACACAAACTGTAATTCCATTCTCCAAACTTAAAAGATGTAATTCTTCTTAAGTCACAAAATACCGCTTCACGGCAACTGGTGTCGTAGGTGAAATCGTGCGCGCAGCAGCCATTGGAGAGGTGGTCCTGGGGATGGAAAATTTCGGGACCACCTTTCTCGAGCGCCCATCAAAAACCTAAAACAGTTCCACACCTTGTTCTTGGCTCTCTCGCTCTCTCTCTCTCTCTCTCTCTCTCTGTGGAGCTTAAAATCCTTTTTCTTTGCGGTTTGATTGATCTTACACTGCTGCTACTGCGCGCTGCTATTGCTTGGTGGTGGTGGTGGCAGTGGGAGCATCTTTTTGTGCGGCTGGAATCGAAGCACGAAGGTGTGTGCAATCGGGAGATCCGAGGAAGACGCTGCCACACTAATCGCTTTTGGAAATTTGGAGAAGGAAAACGAGGAGGGAGGAGCTTGTTTTGGTTCTTTTTTTGTTTCCCTTCTTTCCTTCTTTCTTTGTAGCCAAGCCAGGGGAAAGCGTGATCGAGAACACAAAGAAGAAGTTCTAGCATTTGTTCTTCGCTAGTGGGCGATGCTCTATCGACTCCCATTGCCGAATTGATCGATCGATCCAAGAAGAGAAGCCAAAAAGGAGGAGAAGAGAAGCTCGCTCCAATGGCGCCCACAATCGAGACCCAGCAGCAGCAGCAGCAGCAGCAACAGCAACAGCGAAGCGCCACCACCACCGCCAAGACAATGCCACATTTGCGCAATCCCTCCCCTGAATCGCAAACCCGCGAGTACCTCTACAGATCCAAGCTGCCCGACATCGCCATCGCCAACGACACCCCCTTGGTCGACTACGTCCTGGAGCGCGCGGCGCGCTTCTCGGCCCGTCCGTGCGTCATCGACGGTAAGTCGGGCACGACCCTCACGTACGGCCAGGTGGCCGTACAGTCCGCGCGGCTCTCGGCGTCACTCGCCGCGCGTCACGGCCTCCGCCGCGGCGACGTTGTCATGCTCCTCCTCCCCAACTGCATCGAGTTCGTGCTCGCCTTCCTGGGCATCCTCCGCCGCGGCGCCGTCGCCACCACCGCCAATCCCTTCTACACCGCCCGCGAGGTGTGCGAGCAGGCCCGTGCTTGTAACGCCCGGATCGTCATCACGCTCTCGCCTTACGTCCCCAAGCTCGCGGAGCTCGATCCGGACGTGGTGATCTTCACGATCGATGCTCCACCACCGCCCCAAGATGGAGAAAACTCTCGCCAAGATGGAGAGAACTCGCCAAGGAGAAAGCTGGTCCTTCCATTCTCCACGCTGCTCGAGGAGCCCGAGGTGGAGCCTGAGCTGGAGCCCGAGGTGGTACAGCCGGACGACGTGGCGGCACTCCCCTACTCGAGCGGCACCACCGGATTGCCCAAAGGGGTGATGCTCACGCACCGCGGGCTCGTCACCAGCATCGCCCAGCAGGTGGACGGCGCCAATCCAAACATCTACTGGACGCCCGACGACGTCGTGCTGTGCGTGCTGCCGCTCTTCCACATCTACTGCATGAATTCGGTGTTCCTGTGCTCGCTGCGCGTCGGAGCCACCATTCTCATCATGCCCAAGTTCGAGATCGCGGAGCTCCTGGAGCTCATCCAGCGCCACCGCGTCACCATCGCGCCGTTCGTGCCACCCATCGTTCTCGCCATCGCCAAGAACCCGATCGTGGACAAGTATGATCTTTCCAGCGTCCGGATGGTGCTGTCCGGCGCCGCGCCGCTGGGGAAGGAGCTCGAGGACGCGTTTCGGGCTCGGCTACCGCTGGCGGTACTCGGTCAGGTAGAGTTTTCGAGCTTTGCAGCATTTGCCTAGAATGGGGGTTTTTGATTCGTGGATTTTTTTTCTTCTTCCAGGGGTATGGGATGACTGAAGCTGGGCCTGTGATCGCCATGAATCTGGCATTCGCGAAAGAAGTTTTTCCAGTCAAGCCTGGATCTTGCGGAACGATCGTGAGAAACGCCACTGCCAAAGTGGTGGATCCCGAGACTGGAGTGTCACTTCCACACAACCAAGCTGGAGAGATTTGTATCAAAGGAGCCCAGATCATGAAAGGTGGAAAAACTTCTTCTTTGTGATTCTTTTGTGTTCTAACTTTTGATTCACTGGCAGGCTATCTGAATGATCCAGAGGCAACTGCACTGACGATCGACAAGGAGGGCTGGCTTCACACCGGAGATGTCGGATACATCGATGACAATGACGAGGTTTTCCTGGTGGATCGTGTCAAGGAGATCATCAAATTCAAAGGTTTCCAGGTTGGTTCTTTGTCACTTTTGGTGTATTTCGACTTGCAAGTATTCATTTTTCTTACAAGCTCGTATTTTGTAGGTGGCACCGGCTGAGGTTGAAGCGATTCTCACGTCGCATCCGTGCGTTGCTGATGCTGCAGTGATCCCGTAAGTAGCGGAAACTAATCATATAACTCTCCCTCCAGGAATGCTGGAGCTTTGATCGAATCAAGCAACTCAAAATCTAAATTTTTCTTGCAGGAAAAAGGACGAAACCGCCGGAGAACTGCCCGTAGCATTCGTGGTGATTGCAAATGGCTTTAAAGTATCGGAAGAGGAGCTCAAGCTGTTCGTATCACAACAGGCAAGTTTCCAATCTCTTCTCTGCTCTTCCATTCCCATCGCAGCAGTGATCGCAGCAGTGCGGCGTTAAATGAAGCATGACACGCAGCCAGCTCTCTCTTTGAATGCGAACTTACTTCTGCCATACAGGTTGTCTTCTACAAGAAAATCCACAAAGTTTACTTCGTGGACTCCATACCCAAGTCACCGGCAGGAAAAATCCTGAGAAAGGATCTGAGAAGCAAGCTGGAGCTAAACTAAGTTTCCACACACTCACACACACACAAGGTTGGTGCAAAGGAGATTCACTGAAACTTTAGTGACCAAACTTGTGTGTTCTTCAGGGATAAACATCAATTTTCACACGAGAGCGATAAATGGGAAAGAGAGAAAAAAGAAAAGATCAAAAGAAAATGTACAGCAGATTATTAACGCTTGATGATTGATCCATTCGCCACGCACCTTGAAACGCAAAGTTTGGTTCTTTTCAGGACTACAAAAATGGATCAAAAAGAAAAAATCGACCAAAGAGCTATCACTTTCTTTGAGATAAGTCCAAACGCAAAACAATTCAAGCAGTGCTAAAACGAGGTGTATACGTAGACGGCAGGATTCGAACCTGCGATTTCTAGTCGTGCCCCATTAACCACTACGTCTACATTAGCAGCAGTTTAACTTGGTAACTATTCAAGTTTCCTTGCATAACTTCACTGCTGCATAGAATAATAGCCTTAATTTCTTCCATATCACATAATCATGTACTTCTGACGAAAATCGTCCGGCTGAGCACTCCAATCGAGCTCTTCCAGTGTGGAGAGATGCCAAGAAAGCTGTTTGTGAATCTGCTAAGGAAGAGTGCCGAGGCCTGGAACGTGATGATCAAGAGCTATGTATGGGAATGGTCTCTTTGATTCCCTGCTACTCTAGCACCTCCTCTTGGAGTTTGTCCCCCAGCAAAAACCTTAGCAGCGAATTCACCCTTCAATATCCGACTTGGAGGACTCTTCCTCACCAGTTTTACTCGTCGCGTCATCTCTCGATTCTTTCTCGTCTCCTGTCTGAGGTAAGACTATCGTCTTGGTTTCGTTGTCTCCATTCGAGGCCTGACAAACCATGATGGTGTCTAAGAACAGGCACGCCACTGCACAGTCGATTTTGGCGCTGGCTTGCTTCTTATCAAGTGTGATGGGATGACGTTGACAACTTCCTCATTGCATCCCATACCTGTTGGTGAAAGACTAGAAATAAAACTCATGAGAAGTGATGATAACCATTACTATCTCTGTGGCTAGCACAAATTTGTCCAGTATACCTCTGGAACAGCAATCACACCGAAGTCTTTCTCCAAACGCTCTGCCAGGAGAGTTC